TTGTTGATTGATGTCGCTTGTGTAATGTTGATTCATTGATTGTTCATTAGGTCTAATATCTGATCCCACAAAGGGATTATATGGAGCCGGTGCCCATTCTGATTTTGGTTTGATTACCCTCTTGGCCACGGATGATGTTGCTGGTCTCCAAGTAAGGATGAAGCTGGAATTACACTATAAGTCCATTAAGTTCATTCTAATTTTTGATAAGGGATTGTAACTTTTCAATTTGTTTCAGATATGCAAGCATAAGGATGCCAAACCTCAGATCTGGGAATATGTGGCACCATTGAAAGGGTGGGTTAGTTTAGCATTGAGATTGTTAATCATGGAAAGGAAGATGAGTTATACACAATCTATCGAAGTTGTGTTTGCCCGTCAATATGTAATTCATGCATCTTGCTGGCATGGCCCAGTTATCCCACTTCAGGTAAATACTGGGGTAAATATGGATTTGTTTTACATTGACGGGCTCACTACCTATGCGATTGAGCTTTTGGGTGGTCGAGTTGGCTCAAACACATATGGTGGATCCCATCTTGCCAACAAGTGATATCAAAAGCATGTGGAACATATGTCGCAATGACTTTATCCTTGTGTTGTCCTGAGCAATAGCTTACCATCATTCCTGTTGTTGATAAATTCCTCGTTAGTTTATTGTAATTTTACTTCCTTAGTGATTGATATTCGAATTCCAGAGCATTTATTGTAAATCTCGGTGATATGCTGGAGCGCTGGAGCAACTCTATGTTTAGGTAAGGCGCATTTTCATTAGCAGTTGTTATCCTGCTGGCATCCAGTACCATAGGCGAGTTGGAGATGTTTGATACATTTTAGGAGCTTCGAAATAAGTTCCTTCCAGAATTTTCATCAATTCTTGCCTAAATTTGAATATTAGATGACTAGTTCTCACTTTTAGTTTAAGTTTCAAAGTTTGACTATAATGTCTAGTTGTCTACCTTTTGACTTGGACATGATTCATGGTGAAACTGCATAAGTTATCAATCTTTTGATGAAATGTCTTATTCAACAATTACGTATTGTTGAATTGCTAAACTACCGTCACGGGGGGTTTTGTTCTCACGATGATTTGCATGCTCTTAGAGTTATTTAATTATATCTTCTGAAGTGGAGGACATACCAATTTCATGGAAGTGTGGCCTTTTGTTAATTTTATCCAGGTCGACATTGCATCGAGTTTTGGGGAATGGTCAAGAGAGATATTCTGTAAGGCCTTTCTAAGCTTGCAAATGTGTTTCTAACGTACTATAATGATTGTTATTAGATGTTCTCTCCCTTTTAAGTTATACATTATTAGTTTATTATACATGTATGACGGATTGATTACACTTTGGTCTCTAGCACTCTGCATTAATATTTAGGCCCCATTTGCAACCCCATTTCTAACTGTGCTGTTCAAACTTGAAACAAGTTGGTGGTGCAACCCCTTCCAAACTATTACCTTATTAGGTCTCTCTACTCATAGCTGGGGTGTTGTAACTAGGCTACCCGGGTAGGGTAAAGCTTTCCAACTAATCTTGTGGGAGTATTTACCCATAGTCGATTTGTTTTGAGTTAAATGTTATAACAGTACTGATTAGTTTATCACTTTATCCATTCTATCATCATACTATAAGTGGAAGCAAAACCGAGTTACAAGTGCTACAATGTTTAAGTGGTTCCTCAGCATGTTCTAGGTTTGAAGCGACTAGGAAGCATTCACACCAATTAAATGAGTGGACACGTATGCACAACAAATGTGTGTGAGTTATACAAAGTGCTTCAGCTAATTTTTTGGATAGTTTATTATTTATTTCTATTTGACATTACTTCTCCTGTTCAAAAATTACAAGGTTATTAAAAATTATAGTTATCTCAAGGTTGTTTGAGGTTCTGCTATTAATAATTATAGTTAGGTTGTGGAAAGAAATTATTGAAGTTTGCAAGTGTTAATGATGTAAATTCAATTTTGAAACAGTAGAATCCTTTTATAAAAGGAGGGTTTTGCATGTTGGAATTCAAATTGAAAACATCTTTATAATGTTAGGCAACTTTTTTAGCTTTCAAGTGGGAGCACATAAGCTCAACATTTACGGAGAATTGAAGATTATAAATGTTCGTGTTAAGTTTATTGCTTTCCCAAAGCATATCCATCTTTTGGCTGCCAAAGCGCAGTTGGAAATTCTTCAAATTACCATGCCAATGAGGCATGTGCTCACTGCTCAGGCGTGAAAAGAAGTTTCTCATGGCCACGGCTAGCTTCTGGATAGCTCTAACTACCTGCCTTCCAAATTTCCACTTATTTTTTTGTATGAGCATGCGGTTCGAAATAATATGATTTTGGTTAGTTAGATATGAATAAGGATTATCGTGACACCAGTGAGATTAGTTGTATCGTTTTATTATTATTGATCTTTTGCAATTTCCCTATGCTGACTTCAGTTGGTCATTTTTCATTACACATTGCACTATTTATTTTGACCTATTCCTCTGAGGATGGGTCTTGGGGTAGCAATAAAAATTTTCCATTGTGACTGAGGCATCAAGATTGAAGTCATGGAGACAGCCTTGAGTACATCTACCCCTCCCAAACCCGTAATAGCAAAAGTCTCGTGCACATGCTGTTTTATTTTGGCTTATTCCATTGATTCTACGTCTTTTTTTCATGCCATTTCTTGTTATGTCTTTCTTCTAGATATTTCTCATTCTAGATATCTTTATATGAACCAAAAAAGATGGTAAATGTTTTGTATATTCTCTCTGGGTGCAGATTGCATTCTTTGTAGAGCCTAATCATGATTGCCTTGTTGAATGCTTGCCAACGTGCCAGTCACCAGAGAACCCTCCCAAGTAAGTACAAGGCAACAACACTACGAACACAATCTTACCGCTTAGAGGTTTAACTGAACCTCTGGTTGATCCAATTAGGGATCTTAGGGCACATAAAGTGGTTGATCAAGATTATCACCTTTTGTGATTGATGAGTATAGCAATCGCGCAAGAATACTAAAGGCTCAGCCAATAGCCCGTGGATCGTGGGATGGCCCATTAGCCTGTCGAGCCATATGATTGGGCCATAAGTCATGGGTATTGGCTCGCTAGACTTGACAGGTTGGGCCAATTAGGGAACAAATAACAGACTTATTAATCCGATGGAGTTCAAAACAAATGCCGAATTTGAAAAATAGAATCAGAAAAGTTGAAATAAAATGTCAAGTTGATTGTGACTGTATTTTTCTGGGCGTAGCTATTCGGGCCAGTGATCTGTGATTGACCCAACCTACGGCTCACCTTTGTGTGTTGACCAGTAGGTCAAGATATTCTGGGACCATTGCCCACATTTAAGAGTAGAGTTAATAATTGAGTCGAGTTTGAACAATTTTTTAAATTTGTTTAGAAAAATGAATCTAAAATGTTTGATTTAAACAAAATTCAGCTCATCTATATTTAAAATAATCTAGTTACTTGAGTTCAGCAAAATGAGTCAAGGTTGAACAATTTTTTAGACTCGTTTTAAAAAATGAGCTCGACAAGCTCACTTTGAGCTCATAATACTTAGTTAAGAGCCCCCAAACCCCACACGCACACAAAATGGGCCCACCTTGTGGATGCTGAGGCTACTTTTTCTTTGTCAGGTATCCTCCAATTAAAAGTGAAACGCACATGCTGCAGCGATACAAGGAGACTCATGCTGATCTAAACTCTTATAAATAAAGCAAACTTAATTGGCAATGGCAGGGGACTTTTACCTGAAAACGCTTGCCACTGAATCTATACTATGGAGTTTGTTGCCTATACTACCTAGGTGTGTATATAAGTGTACCAACACATTAAGGTTGAGCATCATGCTAGAATAAGGTCTTACATGCTTTGTGTGCCTATTGAATCTAAGGTCGCAATTAGGTTGAGTTAGTTTCCACGTTGCGATTAAATTTGCGAGTCAGGGTTAGGGAATTACCACCAGACTCTTTGTATACTAAATTTGTAAGTTTATCAGGTGTTCAGGGGAATATTTACATTTTAACTTTTATTATTATTACTAGCCATTGTCAATAGTGCTCGATAACATTTGATGTTTTATTCTTTATTCCACCTGTTTAACATCTTACATTATTATTAGATATTCTAATCACGTTCTCTTTGGATTGATTAAAACGTAAATCTTAATCTTCGATATGTACAATCACCCATAACCAAACGCATCTATTACACCCAAATTATATATTATTAGGGTAGCTCAAATTCAAAATGTGCAGATTTATATAATGCCAAAAAATTTTAGGGTAGGGCTATTCCTACCCTTTAAATCTCTTTTTTTACCCCCATTAATTCTCTTAGTTCAAACTGTTAAGCTCACTCCATCTATACTCATCACATTAATGACTAAGTTCATCTCATTCGATTAAACTATTAAATATATATTTTAAAGAAATTAAAACAAAAATAGTAATTAAAGCGAATTTTCAATGTTCAAATGTGATTTAGAATATTTTGAGGTATTTTGAGATACTTCAACATATTTTAACCACCGTCTTCGGAATATTTTGAGGTTTTTAACGATTTTTGGACTAATATTTTTAAAATAAATTATTTATTTTTTATTTATTTTTATTTTATTTCTGTAATATTTATGTACTAAAATAATACACCAATTTTTTTTTTTTATTGCCAGTATAATAGGTTGAAAGAATATTGAATAAATTTATTTTTTAATTAGTAAATATAGACGGGGTGGGTTTAGTAACTAACGAGGTGAGTATAGATAAAGTGAACTTAGTAATTTGCAGTGTGAGAATTAAATAGGATAGAAAAAGAGATTTAAGCGGTGGGAATAACCCCACCCAAAATTTTATTGGAGCACTGAACCAATCCGGATAAGCTTTTGAGGATTTTTTTTCAATCAGACTTGGCTTTGATCAAACAATGTTAAAACATTTTCAACCTGAAATTAACTTGCTTAAAGTCCACCTCTTGACATAAGGGAGCAATTCATGCTTTTGCCACACCAACAGTCGCATGTAGAGAGTTGATTAGAGCATAGGATAATATCATGATGATTAATAAAAAAGACACTCATACTAAAATTACACACTTGTATAATTTTACATCCATTACTAAAACGCCGAAATCCTTGAATGTGTGTTTTCCCGAAAACACAAAAAGACACTTATGAAATCAGACAATTCGAGTCCATCTGGACTTCATATGTCCGGACTCGTTAAGATCAAGATTGATTTTGAAATTACAACTCACAAAAGCCAGCCAAAGCTTAATAACATACAATGAAGGCACACCATAACAACAACAGGCCTTTAACATAAAGTACAAAAATTATAAGCTGTAGTTAGTAGTGACACAATTCAACGGTATGTCCGATAAGTAGGAGTGTACATACAACTTTCAGCGTACTTCACCAGATTCTCAGGTCGAGGGAGATGTGTCGCCACACCTACAAAGCATTTATGTAATGTGGCAAACATAAATTCATGTCTCCGCAAATACCTTGGAACAAAAATAGGGAAAAGAAAATGTACTCACCAAGTTCATATGCTTTACCAGCTACCTTAGCAGCAATGTGAGCAGAGATCTTTCTGATTTTGGTGAATGAAGGGTAAATCACCCCCTTAGCTAAATGCTCCTCTGTTACTTGACCAGCCAAAGCTTCCGCTGTTTCAATGGAGACATCTGGAAAATTAATATCGAGAGAATTCTGTTGCTGTAAAAAACAAGCAATGACAACCTAACATTGTATTGCCTTTAAAGTCACTGTAATCAGAAATACGTGTCGTTAACATTTTCATTTTTCACCACACGAGTTTACACGTCTAGAGAATAGGAAAAGATGGCAAGTATTCTGTTTTTGTCATTCACTTGAATAAAAGCACCTAAATTTGCGGTTCAATATTTTTCACATTTCTTAAGTGTCAATCACCCTTATTCCTCAGGTGACATGTTATTAAACTAACTCGAGTTATAATCGGTTGTCAGTTTAGACCTTAAGAGAATAGTCATTGCAAACTTGACCAGCCCGAAGCAAAATTCATATATATATACACTCAGACCCCTTGAACTGTGCCAATTTCACATTGTCCCCTAAACTCTACGATTTATCACATTGCAACTTAAATTTTTGGTTTTAGTATTACAATGTCCAAATTGTTTACTTTTGTTCGGTTTTTTCATGGCAGATCAATACAACAATAGGATCTCACGAGAAAATGTGGTCTTTTAAAGTCACTGTAATCAGAAATACGTATCGTTAACATTTTCATTTTTCATCACACAAGAGTTTACACGTCTAGAGAGTAGGAAAAGATGGCAAGTATTCTGTTTTTGTCATTCACTTGAATCAAAGCACCTAAATTTGTGGACAATATCAGTATGCAATAGTAAATTCAACACTGTTCTTCATTATATACTTACACGCTGCGAGAAGCATTTCGTCATGGACACGAATCGCACCAGAGATGACCAAGCCAAAGCCAAACCCAGGGAAAATGTAAGCATTGTTTGCCTACATTAAGATAGAAATTTTTTTCTCAATTTTTTATGTCCACGCTGAAGATATTATCGCACTGACACATCAAACGCATGTCTCAAGAAGATTAATGAAAAAAACATGGCAAAACTTGGAAATTGGAAGACATAGAACCTGGCCGGCTATGTAAACTTTCCCATTGTACTCTACAGGGTCAAATGGACTTCCACTGGCAAAAATTGCACGACCCTTATTTTGGAAGGAAGAGCAAGCAATAAGCAAGAGTTAGTTTGCCCATTTAAATCAAGAAAGAACCACACTCCAAAATATGAAACTTCATATTATATTACCTCCGTCCAGGTATAAGCTTCTTCAGCAGTGCACTCGGATTGTGAGGTAGGGTTGGAGAGAGCCATAATAAGAGGTTTCTGCATGTCAATCATTAACCTTCAGCTTAATTCTGGCTGAAACTGTGTGTGCGTGTGTGTGTGCGTGTGTGAGAGAGAAAGAGAAACCTCATTGAAGGAGGCCACGGCTTCAATCACTTCCTTTGTAAATGTCTTTCCCACTCCAGATGTTCCAATTAAAACTGTTGGCTTGATGGCCTAAGGAAGTTTGAAAACTAGCTTAAGAATCACTTGACACAACCTTCTGAAATAGCAACAGAGGCATACCAACAATTCACCAAACCTTGACAGCATCTAAAAGATTAGTAACAGGTTCATGTTCATGAGCCCAAGGTTTCTTGAAGTGTTGTAGGGATTCCTTACGAGCATTAACAATTAATCCCTGCAAGAAAGTCAGATACTCAATGCAGAGGCGAACACAAAAATATAAGTTCTCTGTTCTTATCTTAACCCAAAAAAAGAGGGTAAGCGATCATTTTCCGCTACCTTTGAGTCCACAAGCCATATCTTCTTACGGTTCTCCTCCACAGGAGTTTTTGACTACAGTATGCAAACAAAAATATATTAGGAGTTGAATATAACTACTCCATGTTATATGCTATAATAACATAACCATAAATGTGTATATGATGTTAAGCCAACACCTGTTTTGACATCTCAAGAGCTATAAGCTCTGCTATACCAGTCCCAGCCTGCAATTACATGACAATTGTGAGACAAATCAATTGTGATCTTCTTTTGATCTTTGACAGTTAGATACCATATGTCACCAATGTAAGGGCTTGGAAGGCGACAGAAATAACCAGGTAATCTGAGCATGTCCATCAAGAAACTCCAAGAGATTTAGTTGAAGATGTGGTAAGGCCAACATCAAGGTGTATGCTTTGTCACATTGGTTTTTTTCCCCATCAATTCAGTCTTCCCAGTAGTTTTTGATATATAACCAATTTTCTCCATAGACCAATGTTGAAAGAATGCCTCAAATAATTCTCAAAAAAGGATAGAGGGGTCGTGGGTAGGGCAGACAACCTCAAATGGAGTGGGTTCATGACTAAGATCCCCGGAATGCCCATCCATAAATTGTTACCCTGATGCCAAACAATCCATGATCTAGGTAAGTCCAAATTATAACACTAACCCTGAATTATAACTCTAAGTGGTACTTTATTTTGTAATTTTGGTCATCTTCAACAGTATATTTTGATTGGTTGTGATTTGAATGTTTTTGTCATACATACAAATGTAGAACTATTTACTTTAAATATACTTATGTGATTTGAATATTTTTGTAATACTAATATGGAACTATTAACTTTTGTTATTCACAACCTTGGTAGGTTGTTTTCCATTGCAGTTCAAAGCAATACCCTATTCATGTGGCCTCAAGCGTGCTTCTGTTTCTTGGTCTTCCAGCTTGAAACACTTATCGTAAGTATCAAAGTAATGATTGGCCGTGTGTATGGAAGTATAGTTATGCAAATACAAGAGTGACAACAATCCGAATAAGAGTTCCCAAGCAAATGGTGACCCAAAACAGTGTACAGATAAAGTCTATCTTCATCACACCACATGTCATAGAAAATATCGTACCTCATACCCATACCAAATCAAGTAATCAATCCATGATCTAAAGAATATCGGTGTCAAATAGAACATCCTCAAAGAAAACCAGATTTTGGAGCACAAATAAATAAAATATTTTGGAAAGTCACTAATATTTCCTCTGTCAGTTTCTGGTGCCATCATTACTTTACTTCTGTACTGTACCACACTCTAACCTAGTTATTTTTGCTTATCTGCCTAGGATGTTAAGATTCAAAAATAGAAGGAGTAGAATCTCACTTCCCCAGCACCAAGGAATAAGAATGTGTGGTCAGCCAAAGTACCACCAAGTAACCTTAGTCCTGCAACAAGCCCTGCAAGAACCACAGCTGCTGTACCCTGAAAAATGGAAACAACAAATTAGACAAGAACACAAAACACCTTCCGGTGACAATATCAACCACGATGTAACACCTGTATATCATCATTGAAGACCAGATGAGTAGTGCGATATTTCGCCAGTAGCTCAAAAGCATTGTGATTTGCAAAATCTTCAAACTGTGAGAGTTCATAAAAAAAAAATTTACCAATGTTAGAAATGATTAAAAAATTCTAAAATCCAGAAAGCCTAAAACTTGGATGAAGTCTAACACATGAGAGCGATATTTCACTTACCTGTACAAGAACTTTTTCACCATAGTTTTGCTTAACAGCAGTCATGAATTCATGTAGAAAGTCATGATATTCCTGGGGTAGGAAAAACTATCAATACTGCACCAACATTGAAGAGAATACATAATTCTTCAAACTTTGGTGAACTATTGGGTCGATATCTAGCACTGACCTTCCCAGTCGTCCTCCTTTGTTTGAGCCCTATGTAGAATTCATCCTTCAACAACTGCTCATTGTTTGTCCCCACATCGATAGTTATAGGCAAACACTACATCAGGAGGTAAAAAAATTTCATAAGTACGGTGAACCAAAATGATAGCGCCAAACCAAACTCCACAAATTTTGATCAAGCTCATAAATAAACAATGTCAAATAGATTTATTTATTTAATACAGTAAAGAAAACCATACTAAGACAGATGAGTTTCATGTGCACTAGAGAAAAAGTTGAAGAAAGTAATTATCCCAGCATCCAAATAGAATAGTCAAACAAAAATGACAGTTTCCATTTGTTGTGGTTCTTACCGCTGAAGGTCTAACTCCTCCAAGGGCAGTATACAAAGCCAGTTTCCCTACAGGTATCCCCATCCCCTGCAACAATTTAAAAATTGCTACGTGAAGACTAGTCCGCTGTCGTTCCGGTCTTATATTTATAAATGTGAATTCGGCATTTAAGATACTTACAAATGAAAGAAAATGAATCCTCGCATATTTACCTGGCAACCAAGGTCCCCAAGTCCCAGAATTCGCTCACCGTCAGTCACAACAATAACTTGAATATTTCTATCAGGCCAGTTCTTCAGTACCTCGAGAATCTTCCCCCTGCAAATGTCAGGTGGTCTCTCTATTAACTAGGGGAAAAGCTACTGTACACAAGGAGGTACCGTACCAAAATTTACAACCTTCTAATGTTAGTTCTAATTTTTTTTTGGTATAAGTTACAACTTATACCAATAGATTGACATCAAAACCAAAGTTAGAATTGTCAAAGATTAAATTATAACTTTTAAAAGTCAAATTACAACTTTGAAAGAGAGGTTACAACTGTTCAAGGGGAGTCCATGATCGATCATGCGTATCGGTGATCGATCATGGTCTCTCTTGAGCAGTTATAACTTATCTTTTTCAAGGTTATAACTTTACCATAAAAAATAATAACTGGTGATACAGTACCGAATTTTTTTTGTCCGGTACCATAGACTTTCCCATTAACTTGAACCTACTTTTAAAATGTAAATGTAGTAATTTAGAGCTCAAACAAAAAATTATACTTCTCTTTCAAACTGATGTAGATACCCTGAGGACGCCTAAAAATGCTTCCATATTTCTGGCAAGCCTCACCAACAGTCGGAGTGTAGACAACTGGTAGGAGTTCTTCAACATTATCAATAAGAAGCTTATAGAACAGCCTCTCATTCCTCTCCTGTAAATCAAAATACAGAGAATTAACAACAGGGAAAAATATTGTTTCTCCTGTGGGAGCCCTTGCAAAAATCCAAATAATCCAATTCACTAGTCAACCTTTATTCCATCTAAAAAGAGAAAAAGAAAACCCCAATATGAGAAAAATTTAAGCATTAATCTAAAGTCGAATTGCAAAATAGGTAAATCAGAGGAGGGGGTTGAACAGAGTCAACATCGAAAGTTGAACAGATTCTCAAAAATATTTCCAAAATAATGCACATAAATAAACATTCCAATTTCTAGAAAAAGGAACTCGTTCAGATCTCAATGTTTCTTGGAGGGGTACCTCCAGTTCCATCATAGCCATGTACTTGTGAATTGGAAGTTGATATTCCCGAATGCCTTGCATGAATTTCTTCTCCTGATGAGTCAAATATGAGAAGATAAAAACAATCATCATAAGTAATAACATAAGCTAAATGGGTATCAGAGTTCTGAAACCATGTCACTAAGGTAACCTGAAGCTCCTGATTAATAACTGCCGGGGGCAGAAGGCCACTCAAGTAATGAGCATCTCTCTCCTTATCAGTGAATGCCAGTCCCTTGTTATGGTGTGGGTCTCTCAACAAACTATACCCACTGTCTCACAAAAAAGTATGTGTCAATAATCATCGGTCATAGAATGCAATACAGATACACATAGATCCATACACAGAAGTGTGACTGTGTGTGATCCGTATATTTTATTAAAACCAATCTCTATAATCACGCACACTGAAACAACAAATTACTTGAAACTCAAGTTACACAAATCAGCACAAATACGAACTTGGTAAAAACTTTAGCTGTATAATCACATACATAAACACATAGTTAAAGCTGAAGGTATATAATTTTCGCACACAACACACATATAAGTTGAATCTGGAGCTACAGAATCAGTCACACACCCACACACAAATATAAATCACACAAAAAATAGTATAAATTAAAAATTACCGCAATCATATCAAGTTAGCCGACGATTACCGAAATTGACCACCACACTTGCACAGATAATGATAAAAACTAACAATCACAATTCAAAAATTACATCAAACTAGATCAGAAAAAGAACAAAAATGGCTAAATTCAACAACGTGAACAGCCACTCTACAGCTATGATTAGCAAAAGTAACAGTACCTAGCGACGGAAACAGTCCAGGGAGTCACAAGCTGGTCCTCGGTGGCACGATCCTCACCGTACACGTCCACAACTCCACCACTGACCGTTGACTTGGAGTCGACGTCCACCACCGCCTCTGCACCGTCCCCCATCTCCTTCTTCAACGTACTCTCCGTTACTAATTTTCTCTCTCCTCCACCGCCTCTGCAACTAACGAATTTTCTCACCACACTTCTCAGCGATCGGTATATACAGCTTTCTGTGTATATATCAGAGCATATACTGAGGTACCAATAGTTGTGCTTCTGATTCAGAGTCAACAGTGAAGAAGACAACTGACTTTGTCTTTCTTTTACGGTGAATCGTGGCTGTCGCATCAAAATACAGATTATACTCCATAATTTCGTATAAAAATATTTTGAAAACTATTTATTCAGATCAATATAAATATAAATATATTTGGAAGGTGAGGAATACGTGGATGTCAAAGATGAAGGTTAGAGGTCTCTTGCGTTTAGTTTATTGGCTGGAACATGGGCGGCCGCAAATGGCGATCATGTCATGTCGACCATTGGATAATTGGGGAGAGAGATGAGACTTTTTGTTTTGCCGTTGATCGCGGAAGATGAATACTTTTTCCATGAGTGACAGGGGTGTAATGTAATTACGACAAAACTTCGAAAAATATTATTTGTATTTAATTTGGTAGTAAAGGTCATTGGTAGTTTAATGGCTCCGCAGCTCGTCGTTAAACTGTTATATCGTGGGTTTTAACTCCACCAGGTCTTCTCTACCGTAGAAGCTTTAAAATAATGACCAAAAAATAATTAACTAGAGACATAGTTTAATGTATAAATTAAAAGTGGAATCGTTATATTGAATTAAGTTTTAAAAACATTGCTCATTTTTCAATAACGTAATAGTTATTAAACTAAATAGGGTTCACTTAAACGTTAAAACTTAATGCGTGGTTAAGTATATCCTCTTATAAGTAAGAGATTTTGAATTTGATATTTTTCGCACCTCCTAAAAATCCGTCACGCGTATTAATTAGATTTGTTTTAAACTCGTTCAAGCTACGATGATCGATCTTAAAACTCGAGAGAGTAATCGGTACAAGTTTAAGCGCTCTATAATATAAAAAAAAAGTACCAATTTTTAATACGATGCATTAACACGATACAAACTAAACACGAAATTAATATATTGGACACAAAATTAAACGGGTCAATGGGTAAAAACGGATCAATACGCTTAAATACAAAAAAAAATCATGTCGATTTCATGTCAAAATTAGGTCAACCAGATTTTAATCTAATTAACCCTTATATTTTAAATGGGTTGACGTGATTCGGACACGAACTAGACGTGATCCATTGTAAATCCATTTAACACACATATGATAGTATAGTTTGTCTATTATATATGACAAATGTGATTTTAACATTATTACTTATTAATCCTTACTTCTATTAAGGTAATTGACAGTATAGTTCTTAATATTATTATTATAATACACTAGTATAGTTTTTACTTTAACTTTTACGTTTAAACTTGAATGTATTTTAGTTAATTTCATTGATGAGATGTAATATATTATTAGTGAAAAAAAATATTTAAGGACATATTTAATGGTATTGAACAGGCGTAGAAAAGGGTTTTGTGTGTTACATAGATTAAACAGATCGTGTTATGTGTGTTAATCCAAAAAACGAGCTATTTATTTACAATAATGCTATGTTGACCAAAATTAAGGACCAAATAAAAAATTCAAATGATATGGCAGGTACTAATTAACTGTATATCAGCAAAATCTTTTCGTCTCTCCAAATCAAGGATATATGAGGCATATCAGCAACTACCATCTCATTTGGCCTCTTTATTTGGTCCTTAATTTGGTCAACATAGTATTACTAATTTATTAAACATATCAAACAGGTTCGATTCAAATAACCCATTTAGTGATCAAGTCAAATTAATATTTACTCATTCTAGCACAATAATTAAACATGCCAAATTCGTGTTTTAAAATTTTAGAAACAATTTCAAAATTAGTCCGACACAAAATAATTCACCGCGACACATTTGACACGCCCAATGGCGCCAACATGTCTCAATCTTGAGCTAAATAAGTGTATTGAGATATTTGTGGATTTGCTTTAATGGATAAGGCCGACAGAGAGGGGTCCTTTCCATACTCAAACTGCTTTAGATAAAAGTTTGGACCCGCTTGTCAGGAGGAACGATTAGATTAAATATCTTCGATTTGAATAATTATAATGTTTTTTTTAAGAGGAAATTATGGGAGATTTATTTTTAATGATTATCTTAATTTTGGTGTGAGTGATTTTTTTTTAATCAAATTGAAAAAAAAATTAATTGAGATATACATAAATTGATACAAACACCCTTAACAATTAAAATTAAAAAAAAATTGGACCCGCTAATTAGTGAGGGAACACTCTCCCTTCGTCTTTGATTTTTTCCTTTATAAGGACAGGAACCACAAGGGCATTTTTGGGAAAATTACTTCTTTTTTTTTTGGCAGTTTTGGAGCTCTTTTCGTTGGTGTGGGAACTTTTTTTTTTCTTAGAAAATAAGATTTAGACTTAATTTAAAGACAATCAATTGTGACAATGAAATTTATTAATTAATAAAATTCACGACTAATCTAATGATCGAAATAAATTAAGTCCTTGATTATGTTCATAACTTAGATCCTTATAGAATTACTTCTTTTTTTTTTCAATTTTATTCCCATTTTTATGTGAATAATGACAAAATGCCAGCAATTAGTGCCCAAAAACACCTAATAATGCACCATTCAACTAATATAATCGAACAACAACACAACAACATGTGTCTAATTTGGAAAGCTTATTATTTTAACTTTAACATTAACAATAAGACCATATCCATTGCTCATCGTTTTTGACGGAACCAAAAAAGATGTAAAAATGGCCCAAAACCTAGCCAGATCTCAGCCTGGCCCAGACCCTAGGGGATAAAGGACACGGCCTGTGGGCAGGGAATAGGCACTGGGCAAGACATTTTTGAATGAAATGAAATCTAGAACAACAATAATAATAATAATACAACAGAACGTTTACTGTTTAAACTTCCCACTTAAAAATAAACCAAAAAAAATAACCAAGATTATTTAAATCCCACAATTTATATTATAATTTAATATTTTAAATTTTTTTCACCACAATAACTTATTTAAATTTTAATCTTTGAACCATATAAACTCAATTAAATTTTAACTTTATAACCTTCTAACCACACTCAACTCAACCATACATTAAAGAAAAAAAAAAAAAAAACCTGTCTTGCACAGGACACTAATACTTCATATTACACTTGTATACACTGTTAGACATATATATCAGATATTACACTTGTTCAACACTCTTTTAAGTGAATAATAAGTTAATACAATCAAACTGTTCATGTCCTGCTCCATACTCTGAAATATTATCCCACGGGCAGGAGGAAATCGCTGGTTGGATTGGTCTCAAGGAGATAAATGGCAGTGGTCATGACCAGTCAAGCAAACGAGTCGAGTCATGAATTTCTCTATTTTATTTTAGCACCTCACGTAAAACAGATGGCAAACATACCATTGACCTTTCACCTTGTTTCGCAGCATGAAACTTGCAGAGGGCAGAACCAGCTACTTTCCAAGCGAAAAGACATTTTTTAACATCATTTTTACTTCTAGCAAAGTCATATGTTACATGATATATTGCGAGCGCCTCGTTGTAGATCTCCTCTATTGTCCTTGCACTCTCTTGAAACTCAGAAGCACCATACAGTAACTGCATTGATGAAAGTTAATCACAGAAGTCACCTGTAGGAATAGTCATTCCTCAAAAGGATTGAGCATTATTTTGTTTTGGATAAGTAATGATTCATTTTTTACAAGCTGTCTGTGGGAATCAAACCCACTACCACATAGGCAAGGATCGAGGATTATGTAATCATAAATCAACATATATTACCTGCTTGTATTTTTCGATCACTCCCTGTGCATTATCTTTTTTGGATTCATGGCCAGGTTTTAAGGCCGCTGTCATCTCACCTCTGTATTGAGAGTACCTCTCCTTCCACAAACTCAAGCACTCTTCGGGGATTACAACATCGAAAGAAGGGAGTTTTGAAATTTCTACATAGCACAAAGAAAACAACAGTATCACCAAATGTAAATGTTCTAACATATTCAGCAAAAATATATGAAAAATGATGAGAGGAAGATGACAATCATTTGCATATCCAAGAAGCAATTAACTATTTCAGGTATGCTACCTTACTCAAGCCAGTCTTGAGACAAAATACTTTGTTAAAAGCGGTAAATGGAGGCAACATTGGTTGAGGAATCCTCACCTACTACAAGAACACCTTCAGTTTCAGATTGCTCTACTGTATCATGAATTAGTCCCAAGACAGACGTAGAATGATAGCTGTTCATCTTTCCCATATAATGTGGATACAACTCAGCTTTCAATTCACTTGGAACATCAACCTGTTTCAGATGTAAAAGAGCTAAAGAGTAGGGAAAGAATTGCTGATACAAAGAACATCACACAACAGAGAACTTTTTCCGACATTTCCCGTTGTATGTCAGAAAGACAGAACATGCTAAGACGTAGAAAAGTCAAAATGTACATTAAGGTACATGAATTTTAATACCACCCAGATGAATCTATTGAGGAAGGGAACAAAACTAACATGTGTGCCACTGATAAATGCTTTGTTCATTTAAGTGCTTTATCATGGGCTACGGGGTTAAGTTCAAGAAATATTCTGCTGCTCTACTTGTCCAACCATTTAGCTTGCCCCAGCAAACTGCGAAAACTAAGTAAATTGGCTGACAAAGCATTGCAATGGCATAAATGAGGTTCACCAAGTGCAAATAGCCAAGTTCCCTAATGTCTGGTCTAATATGGCTCTAACGTATCCTCACCAGTCAAAGCAACTTGCTACTTCTGACAGCCAATGTGATCAAATCAAATGATGATTGGAAGTGAGCTATTATGTTTACTTTATTTGGTTAAATTCAATATTTTCTGCCCTGTTGAGACTGGTGACACCAAAATGACTTTTGTAAAATTTGTGCATCTCACACACAAACCAAATGGGCTGAGCGCAGTAGTCATGACAATCACTTCGTCTAGAATTGGGTAGTGGCTGGCAGTATCCTGACTATGATAACACTATACACCTAAAGATGGAAGGAAGAACCTTGAAATATTTCCAATAAGAAAGGTAGCCAAAACAATTAAGTCAGCATATAATTGTATCTAAGCACAAGCGTACTAAAAACTAAAGCAGAAACGGACGACCATTATTAACTCACCCAAAGCTTGATCATATTAGTTTACAAAGATACGTGTAAACCACCAACCTTTTTTCCAGTTTTTGGTGCATCTAAAGCGTCATAGTATATGTCAATCAACTTAAGCATTGTTTTCTTCATACAATGCTTCTCAGAGGCACTACCATCTCCCAAGATGAGAAGCCGATCCATAAAGGCCAGCCAGCTATCCGCTGCCACACTCATAGTGTAGCTGGTAGATAAGAAAGCACTTGAAACATGGTTAACACACTAAATGACCTATTTAACGTCTAATAATAATGCAATGACACATCATAGTGGCGCTCAAAAGGTCTATTCCAACAAGCAACTTGTGTAACACATGGAAGAAAAATAGGACAATTCCAAAGGAGCAAATGAGTTTTTCAATCTCACCTGATCTCAAATTGCATATTCAACATCTTAATATTTAGCAAAGTCACAAAAGCGATATGATATAAGAATAAGATTTGGAATGAGGTGTGCTGTTATCATTTTATCACAGGTAATTTGGGTTTTTTTTTCGGGGGGGGTGGGTGAGATGGGGGTGAAGTGCGAGCGAAACATCATGGCATCAACTTCTTGTCAAAATTGCCAGAAATCTCTGAAGCACCAGCTAATTGTAACAAATATTCATCAACAAAGGAACACAAATAATATCTGGTCATAGCCTGAGTGTACGGCCTTGTAAAAGAAAGCTGAAACATCCATGATATAATCCCATTGTACATTCTCTTGCATCAAAAAACAATAAATACAGAACATAAAATAAAAGAACTCAAAACTAATTATTCCTACTGATAATCAGCTTGGTCCGGACGGATGACTAACTGAACTTCAAAAATAGACCCAATAAAAAAATTCCCAAAATAAATAATTTTTGAGAGAATAATAAACCTTTGAAATTTATATTTACAGATACAACAGAGACATTTTATCTCCAAACAAACAGTAGCATGAGCAGAAATCAACAGAAATGTGTTTTCAGTCATATACCGAGGGAGTATGATGCAAATAATAGCTCGGGTGTGAAGTATGGCTAGCTCATAAATAGCTACATACTTTACAGTCATACCAAGTGACCAGCAAAAAACTAATTCTTCATTATATATAACCAAATGTTATAGGTATATCAGGTTACAAATGAATACCTTGGTTCCCTTGATTTTAGAAATAGCTGGAAAAGCTCATGTTCCAATTCCTCAGGTGAAAACTCACTGGGCTTTCTGTTGAGGGCTTTTGGTGTCGAATAGCAGCGTTTCCAGGGTTTATTAGCTTCGAAATATTTGAACAACTGAAAATGCAGCTAAAAGCATTCAATCATGAAAATAGACAAAACCGGTAGGAAGCTCAAACATTAAGATGAGCTTGTCCTTCAATTTTATGCCTACAAAATTCGTCAATAAAAGGATCAACAATGCAGTGACCAATAGGACACGGGGAAAACCAAAACTATACAATGACAACTTGAATGCCAAGAGACCTGGAGTGACAACTCAGACAAGAGCCAGATGCATAATTGAAGATCACATAATCTTAAATAGAACTCGATAGGAATTAGAATTTGTGCAGCACTAGTAGACATCAGTTGATTCAAGGATAATTTGATGGAATTAATGATAAAGAACACTAAACACAAAGTCTTACCAAAAAACAAAATATGAAAAACATGTAGAGAATAATCCAATGAACATAATATTCTTTCAAAGAAGTCATACAATTGCACACAAAAAAAACCAATCAACCAAAAAGACTCTAAAGTCTAAAAACAAGAGCCAATCTTATGCACAGATCTTTCCCCTAATCATGTTTATGCTTTCTTTTTCCTTCTATAAACGATATCATACGAATTAGAAGCATTTGAGAACACAATGAGAGAGAGAGAGAGAGAGAGCGCTTGTGCGTGCGGGTATCACCAAATAGATTAGTATGTACCAGGACAGACATCATAAAGACACCTTTTTGAGTGAACAATCAGGGATGCAAGCAGCATATTTTATTATTACCTGAGAGTTCTTGGAGACCCAATACATGTCCCCATCAAAATCACCATTTGCAATTTCATTAGCCACTGACCTCGGGCCTTTGGTGGAAAAGAATATAGCATGTTTGGCATTTCCAACAATATCTTCCAAGGCCTTTACATAGGTAGCCCTTAGAACATGTATATCCCCAAAGTGAAGGCCAGGATTTCGATATACTAAAACATCTCCCGACAATTGGCCGTTGTGTCTGCATAACTCGTTGGTAGAGAAAAAAGCATAAGCATTTTTTTTAAGTTAATATGTGCTTGCATAAAAAGTCGCACAAATTACAAATATAATCTACAAAACTAAATCAGCAATGCTGATCTGAATCAAAAGTTTCTATCGTTCTGCATCCATTCTATCACAACATCCACATAAACCTCCTGAACATATGCAGTCCCAGTTACTGGGAAAACCAAAATGATTTTTTGAGGGATGTCCCCCAAATAGGAAGATACAAAACTTATTAGTTATTGCTATGGAATTCGGTAATTCACAAGATTGATTTTATTGACAAGTTAATATCATTATCTACTCACAAAGAAAAGCAAAATAAAGCAACTTAGTATAGTCTAACCAAGGAACATATATAAATACATATATTACACTCTCTTTAATAGCTTAAGCTTTTGGTGGAGACGGTGGTTAATAGGAGGAATACATACACAATAACACAAACTTCATCGTTATTTAATTCTCCTGTTGGATCAACAGTCCCCATTAAATAAAAGCATTCGCTGATTGGAAGCTTTCCTCCTTTAAGCCCCTTTCTCTCTTCATTTCGCAGATGAGATAAGCGATGTTGAAGACATGGTTCATTAAGAGGAACTCCAGACAAAATCATGCTTGCTGCCAAAAAATTGTCGTCATTTTCTCCATGGTTCAAGGCAACTGCATAAAGACACATTGAAGAAAAGCTACCTTAAAAGTAGTTTGCCATTTTTGGTAAGAGAAAAAAGGAATAAAACAAATAGAGTTGATGCAAATTAGATCTGAGTAGAAATATGGTGGGAATTGACAATAGGTAGTCAGGAAAGAACTAGAGGAAGTAAAAGTTGAAATGACAAACAAAGAACTAACATATATAGACTTAGCATCAATATAGGTCCAGTAGTAAAATGGGCTCAAGAAAAGGTCTCAAAAAGGATTAACATTTCCAGATTCTAAAAATTACCTCTTAGTGCTGCACGCTTATTGGAGTATATCTTCTGAGAATCTTCAAGTGCATTTGTCAGTAACTCCAAAAAAATTTCTTTAGGGACCCCATTATAATGGAGAAGTGCAATCAAATTTTTCGAAAGGAAAGTCCTCCTTGGTTTATGGCTGAAATAACAATAAATGAAAGTAAGAGTGCGACATGCAACCCAACTATGTCATCATTAACTTATTTCACTTGTAGTCCAATACAATTATTATCATTTAAGTATTGCAATTTCACCAACATCCACTATTATGTCTCAACTTTGCATTCTTTTCCAGTCACGTACTTAACTCGTCTCCAACCTGACACTAATTAGTCTCATGAAGACATCAATGAGAACACAGATGGCAACCAAGCTTCCCAACTGTTGATAGTGTCTTCTGAGTTAATATCACATGTATAAGAGAGAAGTATAAACATGTATGTATCCTTCAAAATTTTGACCATATATTGAGGATTTCAATAATGACATGTAATAATGGCCTTTTGTCATATGTAAAGTGACTTCGAGAAAATAAAATATATGATTTCATTTTTCATTCACTAATGACAGTCAATCTCATGGAACAGCTGTTATAAAACAACAAGCAATCAGTACATGTAAAAAAGTGACGTTACTGATACCTTATTGCAACTATCTCCAACGAGTTCAAAGACTCTGCATTTAGAAGTCTTGGATCTGCCTCAACCTTTACCATGGAGGGTCTAATTTGAATTGTTCTTGGTGGAAGCTAAAAATATTCAAGAGAAAATTTATAAATCACCACAAAAATCAGAATGGCCATTATAAACGTAATAAACAGCCACAAAACTAGAGGCAACACTTAAAAAGTCGTATTCAAAACTGAGAATGAGATCCTAAACAGTCACAATATAAAGGCAACCAAACAAATAGTACTTAGTTTTACCCTAGACAACATTTGATTTATAAGAATCACTGGCTGTAATGCAATTCCATTTTTGTTGATTTCTTTTCGACACTCTCACTTGGAACACAACATTGGTAACAGAAAAGTCCAGTTCCCCAAGAAACAATAGGTGTCACATTCCTACCATGTGGTTTGTTACGCACTCTTTGAATACTATTAAAAGATTCCTAGCAAATGCTTCTCTAAACTGAATTTACAAAACCTTAGATTGCCTGCTATTTTTTTCCCATTTTCACCTGAATCTGTCAAGCATCCACAGCTCCTCGTCCACGTCCTACACCGTCGTCACAAACTTTATTCCCTGCTAAAGCTCACTGTCACTTCAGAACAGGGAATCATTGGTCCAGTTTACTCTTTCTACTATAAACGTTTCCCACGTTAATTTTGCTTGCTAAAGTATGGACCAAGTCTAATCTTTATCCTTTCACTGGGCCACTCCACTACTTATGTATGATAATTTGACCCAAGTGAAGCTGGGCTACTAGGAGAAATAAATAATATTAGGAACAAAGCAAACAAAAAGGACCAATCATAGATATTAAAAGGAATGAGTTAGGGTCCTGCTTGTTGCTGTGCGGTAGAATTAATACTACAGTGATAATATTCACCACAATTATATCTGTACAACAATAATAAAAAAGAACGGCACACCACATGACTTGCAATGGAGCAATCTTACCTCTGTGCCAAGGTCCACCCTCATCTACGAGAATAAAGCATACACTGTAATTGAAGATGATCAACTATACCTTTCTATTGACAAGAAGGGTTCCCTTCACAGCACAACCATTGTAGAACAACCGGCATTGCATCAGCAAAGGCTGGAAGAATATGAAAATGAATGTGGAAGCAAAATAAGAATACCACTTGAACAAGTTTGTATTGGAACCAAAGCACTAAAAATTTAAATAGAAAAGAAAAGAAATAAGAAAATAAACATAGCTTAACATTGAAACCATTTTTACCGGCTCCCTAGAGCGAGTTTCTGTCCCTCTCAGTTCCAATACTTTCTGTTCAAACTAGACAGGAACGAGATTTTTTAATGAGTATCAAATATAAAAAGTTATTAAAAACACAAGGCATACATACACTACATAACATGACAAGGAATAAAAAGAATATACTAATACAACAATAATTCCAAGAAACCAATAAATAAATCAGTAAAATTTCAAGCACGGATGCCATATGAAGTTATGAACTAAACATGCTCACATCATATACTTAATATATAGTTCAAATATAAACTTCAATAGCTTAATAACCTTTTCCCGTATATCCCATTCCAAAAATATTGACTAAAATATTCCTTTTGTAACCCTGCTATATTGGAGAAATTAACAAATATACTTTTATCAAATTGGTAACAAAATATAGAACCTGAAAATGGAAGCAAGCATCAGTGAGACAAGAAAAGGAAAATTTTGTTGATAAAAATAACCCTTAACTAATGGCATCATCAAAGAAATAAATCAGATCATAGCTAACAATTGTGATCATGTTTCAAGGTTACGCTATTGTCCATCAACTCAAAGGCATTGAGACACATTGGAGTGACGCTGTGTAACGGCATGGAGCAAAGAAGTTGGACATGAAGTACCGAGTTGGTATGACTTGACCAAGTCGTATCAGTATGAGCAGATACTTTGAACCATGATTGTCATACATATAGACCATTTAATCACAACAACACTTATTTGAGTTGTTTCAGGTCATTTAGCAGGTAATTGGAGGTGATAAAACATCACAAGGTGGTTAAATATAGCCCTACAACTGTACCACCATCACTACCACTATAAACAGCATAGACGTAAAAAAAAACTATAAGATTCTGTTAGATATGCAGATCTTTGACAAAGTCCAAAACGATGCATATAAATTAGACTAGCCAGTGACTATCAAAACTCACTGTTTGAGCCTAACCAGTTAAAAATATGTTAAACCATGCTTGAATATTTATAAATAAATAAAATATATATCCAGTATTCACCTACACAGAAATGTCACCCCTTGGCCCTTAGGACTGCTTATGCAACCTTAAAAACACATGTAGCCGGGCATTAAATTTCTGTGGACTAGGAATCCATCTCATGAATTAAACCACTATACAAAAAAGAATCGATGAGAGAGAAGCAGCTGTCATACAGTTTGATTCAACTCTTTATAAACTAGTAATTGTTAGAGCTTATGCTTAGCAAAATGTATTCAAAATTGTGACCTGAAAATTGTCATCCTTTATATACTTTGCATTGTAAAAATCTTCGGGACACCTCATTGCCAAATCTTCTGAAATGTAGCCAGTTCCATCTGTATGTATAAGACGTTCTCCATCATCATAAACAACAGAACCATTTTCATCCTGCAATTCAAAAACAAAGTGTCAGCCAAATAGATGATAAAAAGAAAAAATAGACAAAGAAGGGAGTGCCACTGATTATTTAATGAGAAAAAAAGCAAAAAGATTATACTTGGCAAAGAATATCTTCAATTTTTTCAATATGCACAGAGGTAAGGTCAACTGGAAGCTTTATAGTCTTTGATAAAATCAGGGAAAACCTGCATTCCCAACAAACAATGGACACTTCAAACTTCCCAAAAGAAAATTCCGTGAAATGTAAATAGGACAGTCCTAGGAGCACTAACCGAGCCATGTATTTGGCCATGCTAGATACCATGTGCACATGCATGAAAAGACTCCTTGCTTGATAGACCATTTTTCTAGACAAAATATAAGATTCTCTCTCATCACTTGGAGCAACAGACTCCATTCGGACGAAGTAGCACTTAATGGCTGACGAGGTTGGGCTTTTCTTCTTCTCCTCTTTGCCTCCATCTTTGAACACTGATCCAATAATAATTACAACATACATAAAACACATAGGGCTTCCTAAAAATGTCCTGGTTTAGAAAATACATATTTCTGACTTCAAGCTAAAATGTACACTCGGTATCTAAGCAGTGCTAAAGGTTAGGGTATAGAATGCTATTATTTGCACAAAAGATTGAATTGCAGATTAATAACCTAAATATTACCAATTCAAGATATACAATGCTATGGGTAACATAGTTCAAAGTATTAGCTGATACCGATAGGAGTCGTATCCAACTCAAAATCTTCAAAGACACTATTGCTATACGATACGTATAAACTCCGAGTTTCGCACGACTTAACAGAGTCGTCCGAATTGTATTCGAGCCAATCCCAACTCCCAAGTCGTCAAATTGGCTGATACAGTTCCACAACACCATGATATAATCTGAATCCCCTGGCATATTCAACATTTTCTTTTAAGTCGAATCACTTGATATCGCGCCGCGACCAATATATCTCAAAGCTCTCCAAGTTGATGGACGATGCCACAACCTTGAACCATGATGGGTAATGATAGATCATGAACAAAAAATCCTATGAATCCAAGATTTGGTAAATAAATGCAATAATAACCCACGACTCGATATTCTCACTTCCTTTGCTGCCTTATTAAGAGAGGACTATCAGCATATTCACAACTGACAAAATAATAGATTTAAATAAGAGGGGGAAAAAACCGGAAAAGGCAACATAAGCTCATGTAAGATGCTAGTTAGACCCTCATAGGAAAGACCTCTACTTGCTTGTTATGGTTTTGGGTGATGGAAAGGATGGATGACAATGATATGACACGGGCATGGTTTCTTGAAAACTTATCCCTTGATGCAAGCAAATCAAATTTATAAACCATTAAACATGACAGTGTATAAAATTATCGTTCATAAAAACGAGAATAGGGGAGGAAATAAACAAGTATAGAGTAGTTCCCAATTAAATGTTTGCAACATTCTTTTGGTCATAAAAAACATGATTTACATATATGCTTAAATATGAGTAAAATAGACAAAGAGGATGTGTTGGCCTGTGCTTCATAAAATATTGTCTCCAGCCCAACATTAGAGTGTCTTGTTTGAAAAATCAAAGTAGTTTTTCATAAAAAAATTGATGATTTTAAATTTTTGAATAGTTTCAAAAAGGGAAATTCCAAAATTAAAAAGAAGGTAGTATTGGAAACCATAGGTCCCCACCAAAAAAGAAGGTAGTTTTCCATCAAAAATAATGTTCCTTAAAGAGTTGGGTCTCGAAACAGATTACCAAATTATAGGACAAAGTGAGTATATACTATATAATGAGTACAACGTATTGTTTGTAACCATCTTGCCCCACATCTCCACGTATTAAGGATAATTCAGAACAAAAATTTCAATTGCATGTTAAAGAAATTAAGAACAACTATTCAAAACACTTAATACAGGGCATGAAAAGATGATTACCAAAAAAATGATAGCGCCTCAGACCAACAAGAATTCCTTCTTTGGCAATCTTGTTATACACCGAGTGACAATTACTAGAACCATTCGGCAAATCAGTACAATCCACAGACTTTTCTGCAAACTTGACAATCAATACATTGTCATCTCCCAGTTCTCTTTGTAAGTGGGTTCTTGTTGTGTCCAAATACGGGCCCTGAATTGTATCAAAGCAAAGCACATTATAAGTAACGGCATAAGGTACTAAATTAAAAAAAGACTGAATGATAAAATAGCTTCAAAACTAACTTTATCTAATAGTTGTAACAAGACAAAATACCAAATATGATAACCATAAGGACTTCATCCCCCACCTACACCACCCTATGTAGAAGGCAGAGTTTTCAGCCCCCCAAGGGACAAGCAGTTAAGAAGGTTGGGACCCCCACCCTATGGGCAGGCATGGGCATAGATACACAAACAAGGAAAAAAAAAACCCTTACTCCACTGATTGATGGTTGCACACTACACATCAAATTCTATGATACCTGATTTTTGGAAAGATAAGATGATAGTACTCTTGTAAAATGAAGAACGGGTAAGGACACACAATGATCAGTGAAACAGCTAAAGTCATACCAACGTCCACTAAGATTATTCTATGAAGTCGTATGGGAATTTACACATAAGATCCCATGCAATCACACAGAGAGAGGATCATGCATATTACGAGTGTACATGGACTGGCTTTCGAGCATGAGTGTGTGTTGTGAGTGTAGGTGTAAGAGGGAATGCACACAAGCATGCATAGTAGCGTTCCCTCAAAACTTGCATTTGGTCATCGACGATATCATATGTGGTATCATTTCATTAATTTATGAATAACGTATTCATAAGGAGGGCAGAAAGAAGCATAAATCCAAATTCCACCAAACATTGACCATAGAGTAGATGTACAAACCTTGAAATTATAACTTCCATCAGGATAAACATGACAATAATAGAGACGTGTCTTACCAGAATCCCAATCAAAAGACTGCAAGACAAACAAATGATAAAAGCTATTAAAAACTATGAAAGGCAATTGTTGCATAAGAAAGTATGAAGACAGTGCAGACAAGGTTATGCTCTATTAAAGAAGTTAAGGCTTAACATTCCATCAGGGAAACTTGAGACTTAAATCACTAAACCCACCAATATTTGATCCTTCAGGGTGTCAAATCATAGCATAATCTACGGACGAATGTAAATTATCTTGAAATACAAATCTATGCAATTAAGTCACAGGTGTTTAGGGAAGTATTGCCAACTAAGAAGTATACATTTGTATTGCCCGGTACAGATAAAGTAAACTTCAAATTTCAACATGGAACTATGAGATGGGAAAAAAAATTCGGGTGGGGGAGTGAAGGGGATGAGGTTGGAACCCACAACCACATGCAGGCAGGGTGTCCGTACCACTGGACCACTCCCTCACCTCAAGCCCTCGGAAATTAAACACCCACTGACCCACAAGGGAAGCAACAATTGAGATGACTGATGAGTTACCCCCACCTTCCTACAATCTGATTCATCACAATAATGCTGGCCATAGGTACTCCAAATTTGTGACTCAAAAATCCTCATTGGTTGATTTTTATGTTTTAATATATCATCAGCATCTCCAGCGGTCATAACTTCCTCCAGCCTGCAGCTGTATACAAATAAAGATCAATTTTCAGAACCCACTCATGCCAATACACCATGAAACGACCAACAAAACGAAACGAACAATTCTATACTTACCGCCCAATGTAACTTAAAACTAGAAAGGCTTTTCTGAATTCAAGCTGACTGAGGACCAACAATTGGTGACTAATACTTTGAGTGCCTGTAATCTGTGGACTACAAGGTGGAGATAGTACCAGATGCTTGGGGATAGGAGAGTTATAGCCACTATCATCTGTTCCCAAAAGAAATGACCAAATTAAGTGATCTATTCATAATTCCCTGCAAACAAATTCACAGAGGCACAGAATTCTAAAGTGGAAAATGGTTTGCCCATTTAGTACGAACTGAAAAGACCACTAATGCCCAAGGCAGGTAACAAACCTACAAACCCACACACCGACCTCAGTTGTTTTAATGAAGACGATCCCCGGGAACTATTCCCAGGTCTAACCTAATTTAGGTCAGCCACTGTAACAATAAGCCAAAGCTTACTAGGGTTGTAAGCCCAGAAACTCACCCACAATAGATAGTAAAAAAAAAAACTTCATTGGATCCATTTTGCCATTATGTGTGTGTGTGTGTGTATGCCGTGCAACCTCCAATCACCACTTTATGCTTTCCAGTCCCTGCGAGAGACCCGTAATAGATCACAAGTACTACAGTCGGCTCGTGATCAGCCGATTCAACACCATAAACACTGACGACTGACCCCCACACTGTTGTACGCTTGAGCCCACAACACCATGTGCACTGCTCATCTCTTATATTTATGCAGTGACCTTGAGAATTCATCCAAAAGGGCTAATTCCTTTCGTATCATCATGCTCTGTGCAAACTTCCAATTGGAGACTCGACCAAAGCCAATGCGGGTTGTCAGAGTATGAGAGTGTGTGTGTGTGTGTGCCCAGCTGAAATTTCTCGGAAGTTTTTCAGGTTCAAATTTTATTTTCCATCAAAACAAGGATGAAGAGTTAAAAACAAACAGGATTGAGGGTCCAAAACTCTAAAACAAGCTCAAAAACAAATAATTAATGGATAAAAAAAACTTAACAGTACAAAAGCACAGAACAAAATCAAAAAATTCAAAAATTCTCAATGACACAAAACAAACACCACATTTAGCAACCCACTTGACATTTAGCAACCCACTTGGAAAACAACAAAAAAATAAGTAAAAGAAAAAGATAAATCCGGTGATTACTATGGGCATATGCAGAAGGAGAGCAAGGGGAACTTCGTTTCTGAGGAGATATCTGGGCACTTCCTGGAGAGCCGACTGGACGGTAGTACTTCTTCGCCATGTGAACTATAAAACCGTTGAGCGTTCTGACTTCGGAGATAGAGATTTTCGTAAGAATGTCCAGCGATGTTTCTTCGCCGAGTCGAGCCAGGACTCTTCTGGCATGTGTGTCAGGTGGTGGAAGTGATTGTTCAACGCAAATTTTTTGAAGCAATTGTTCAACTGATTGTGGGAGAGTTAATTCAGAAGGATCAGCCATTGTTGAGTTATGTTCTTGGAGTTTCAAAGGTTTGAATTTGAGGTTTTGAAGGGAGATCTTTGGGGATTTATGATTCTGTGTGGGTGGTGATGGGACTTGGGAAAAGACTTGACAGCTTCGGGAATTTCTCTCTGTGCAGTTATGAAATTTCCCGCTCCACTTTGAAGACGATGTTGGTAAAGTAACCGTGTGTTTGGTAATTGGTTTGATGAAAAGTTGAGTGGATGAAAAAGGAGGGAAAGAAAATGAGATGGAAAGAAAAAATTTGTATTGTTTGATTATAAAACAAATAGGATAAACAATAAAATTAGAGGAAAATACTTTTTCTTTAGTCCATTATTTTTTTTCTCCCAAAAATAGGATAAATGTGAGAGAAAAATTGAAGACAAACTACATTTTTGAATAAATTAACCTTTTTACCCTTATAAATATATTTTTAAACATTATCTCATAATTTCAAATCATAACCTACAAATTTCTCAATAAACACTTCTACATGTCTTATTACATATATTTTTCTTATGTTTGTTTTTTGACTATTATTTTTTGTATACATATCTATATTTATTTGTTTATTTATTTATTTATTTATTTATTTTCATAACTAATTAGAGCAACCATGAATCTTTCAAAAATTATTTGTAATAAAAAAATATTTTTATGTAAGGGTATAATGGTAAATTAAGTACATATATATTTTTTCTTCCATTTTTCTTCTAATACAAAACAATAAAAATTTAATTCTCCTAACTTTCTATCCATCGTACCAAACACAAAGGAGAAAAATTATTTTTTTTCATCCAAGGATAAAAAGTCTATTCCTCATATTTTTCTATCCTTCCAAATTTTCCTCATTCCTACTAAATGGAGCAAGTGTAAATATGTCAGTCTATTGTGCTTATTTACGAAAAAATGCTACTAGAAATGACAATTGTGTCATGTTTTGGTCGTGTCGTATTGGGTTTGAGTTAAAGACACATTAACTCAAATATGATATGTGAGTTAAACGAGTCAAGTTTTTTTTTTTCAAAAATGTAGTTAAACGGGTCAAGTTATCTAGACACGAACACGAATAATCTGACACGACCCGTAACCTGAGATTGACACAAGTTGTGTCTGAATAAACACGACCCAACCAGCTTAAGAAACCACAAATCTGCTACATGAAATCAAATATTTGATATTGTATTAATAGAAGTAACTAATTTATAGTATTAACGGCTTTGAGCTTGAATTTGAAAATGTCTAATTGAAAAAGCGGGTTTGTATGCCTAATTGAATTTGAGCTTGAAATTGAAATGTCTAGTATTAACAGTGTTGAGCTTAAAATTGAAAATGTCTCACTCCCTTGAACCTTACTAGTTGTTGGTAGCCCTCAATGGCGCCCATATCCACTACCCCAACCTTTCCCTAATACACTTCAACACTCTCTTTATCTCTTTTTTTTCTCTTCGCCTAACACAAAACCCTAACCTTAACCGCCCCTACAACTCCCCACACGATTGCCACCACTTTTATTACCGTCTACAATCCCCAACTTGTTCATCTCCTCATCCATCTTCACTCACAAAACAATCTAGACATCACAATCACCTTGCCTCAGTCGTAACACACCATTTCCCCCTCCCCCTGTTTTTGCACCATGACATACCACAAGAGAGGGAATTGAAGTCAGAATAATCAAATTGTCAAGAGGAGGGAAATACGAGAGGGCGACAAAGTAAATGTTAGATGTGACATTAATTTAGGGTTAAAGATCCAACTACGTTCATTTATATAGTGTTGTGTTAGGTTAAAAAACAGGTTAATCAGGTCATTTTCGATCTAATTAGATACACAAGTTAATTTTAGAATTAAACACAAATACACCTCATAATAATTTGTTTTGATGAATCGTGTCATATACCGATTTATGCCAAAATATAGTCAACTTAAATCTATTAATTCGTTTCGTACTACATCTTGTCACCTTTAAGTTAGAAGAATTGATATTCCCTCCATTATTTTTTTACATAATATAACTATTTGTGTTTGTTTTTTTTTAAATGGGGTTCGTAACACGTAACAGGCGAATTATTGGTGATGCCTGTACGGATATGCATTACATGAGAACTACAGTAAAAGGTTCTCAATGCATCCAAAAAGATTCTCATGTCTATCAATTGTTCAAAATTTCTTTTCCAAGTTTCTTTTCCTTTTTGAAACATTGTTAAAGAGATCTTACGCATGTATTGCTTAGCATTGAAGTCATAAATTAACGGTGTAGATTGAATATTGATATCAAACATAAATGCGCGTATCTGCGCATCTTTTTTAAGGGAAAGAAAGAATGAAGGCAAGATAGTCGGTGTTTTGCCTTCATGTATCAGTTTTATCTGACCAGCTTTTATATTCCGTTTGTTAGGAAGAATAAAAAAATAAAAAATATATATATTTTTATTTTTTAAGAAAAAAAAGTAAATATTTTATTCTTTATATTTGATTGAATAAATTAAAAAAAAAAATTTGTGCTTAGTAAGATAGAAAAAATATTTTTTTAATTTAATTTCAAATTTTAAATATTTTAAAAAAATATATAAATACATATTTTATCATTATATTTACATATGAAATTAATGTATACATAATATATGTATATATCAAAAGATATATAGACAAATAAGATACATTTTAACATAAATAATTAATTTTCCTTCTACTTTCATTTTAATTTTGGAATAATTGATTTTGGTGAGTTAGAAGGAAAATTTATCCATCCATCCTATTTTCTTTTCTTACCAAATATAATGTTAGGGGATGAAATTTTTTTCCATTATTTGTTTCGTATAATTTTATTCAATGATAATTAGACACTATGTATTTATATAAAATTATTATTTACATGTAAATTCTTTATCTATACACGATAGATAATCTATAATTGAATAAAGTTGATAATTAGTGACCTGTTTCTATTTCAATTACACAATGCTCGTTAAATGAGTTATACCTATTTAAATATATTATACTATTTTTTATGAGTTGTGCTATGTATATCAAATTTGTAATCCAAATTTGTATCTCAAATCAAGGACGACCAGTGGATCAATGGTTCCCATCAACTTTTTTAAATGGGACCCACTGATCCAATGGTCCTCCTTGATTTGAGATGCAAATTTGGATTACAAATTTGAGATACATATCATTACTCATTATTTATTTATTTATTTAAAGATATCATCTATTATTTGAATCCAAGGTAATTGATCAACTGAAAAGAGAGAAAAAAATGTAATGATGTGAATCTCATTTCTAAATGTTTTTGGTCAATAATTCCTAGATTCAATAGTGCAATCTCCCATTGGGTAATTTAGATCCAAATTTGAAGCAATGGCATGTGGTTCTATGGTATAAGAGCTGGAGGGTTACGGTAATGTAGGATTTATTGACACATGCGATAAGCCTTTTACTATAACTTGATTCTATTGACTCTTATATTTTTCAGTAATAACTTAGTCCTATAAGAGGTATAATTGATCAACATTTACTTGTAACTTCCGATGTGTTATCTCTTTAGTACCTTAGAGCATCCGTCGAGAGAGTCAACAATTCCATCCAACTGCACAAACATACAATGAAATGGCCCATAAATCTGCGTGTGAAGTAGTAGCAGTTATGTGTAATTTGCAGGAAATTCATTTGCTGCCACATGCCGAGGAAGCTCCATAGCAAACAACTTTTAATGTGTGCACAACAACATAGAGTTAAGAGATACCAACATATTACTTAAAATGCATCAATTGAAAATCCTCTTCACATTTACAAGAAAAAATGAGTCAAAAAGTAAATTTTCTGCTCAACTTATATTCACTACTTGTATGTTAGTATTGGCAACATGGCAGCTGCTACATCATCTCCCACTCCAGGCTTACTTGTCCATTGTCAAAAGCACACCAAATTTTTGCAACAAAAGAAACGTATTGACGCTTAATTCTCACCGCTGCATGATGAATGAGTTGCATCCAGCATATAAGCTTAGCTAGCTTTTTCCCAACTCCCGGAAGGACTATAGTTATCGAGTAGTCGACCAATGGTAAATAACAATGATAAGGTGTAAATATACTGAAAAGCAAAACATCCAGTTTCCCTTTGTTTGTGCATTCTTAACTCAGCTGGCGCACACATTCATGCTAGTATAGAATTGAGATTTTTGCAGCTTTCACTCGCAGCAATTCAGCGATGAGGATACAATTATGCGAGGCTTGCAGCAGCAAGGCTATCATGGAAAAGCATGACTGGCAAGTCCCATAGATTCCGCAACTTCTCTAGAGGCAAAACTGTCATCTTGCTCCTGCTCATTGAACAAAAAAATTGTTATTTACACAGACAGTAACATAATATTTTCGTGTCTTTGGGTCACAGACATGGTAAACACAGTACTGCAATATCTTCAAGGTTTTCCAAGCCATGAATATGCTTGGGATATAGAATTCTTAGGGCAGAGTGATTATACCGGATTCCCTTGTCTTTCATGGCATACATTTTCCCAATATCTATGGTTTAGGCACCCATATAACTGATATTCCTTTTTATTTCATCCGGAAGGAAATAATATCCTTCTTTAAAATGGGATCACTATGAAGAGGGCGTAGGGCGGTTCAGTGGACAAGGCCCCCTCCACTGTGACGTCTAGAAATGGTCAATGTACACAACCTTAGATGAATGCCAAAAATAATAAAACAAAAATACAATATGTTGAGCACCCGTGCAAGGAAAAAAATTGTAACATCTTGCTTATTAAAAATATTAACAAAATCTTTGTTTTTCTGTATTTTTTATTATTACTATTTTTTTTTGGGCGGGGGAGGGGGAGAGTTTAAAATGGGTCCATAACATAAAAAGAACAGGACACCAGTACAACGAAGAACCCAATAATTCTCGTCTATTATTGCATATCTCAAGCTTTGCAAATTATATTATCCATTCTTTCTGCTGCTTCTGGTAATAACATACTGGGCTAGACTTTTTTTGCTCCCTTAAACACGTAAAATAGGAAAAAATAAAAAAAAGAATTGGCACTAAATAGCTAGGAGCAGAAACCCCCATTTCAAATCATCAGTGAACATTTCTTAAGAATGTACTTAATGCCCTGCCCTGTTAATCACCTCAATGTGTTAAAAATTAAAACCTGGGCAAATGGAGGATATTCATACCTGAAGGCGATGCAACAGATACATCAAGAAGAGATGCACAAATACCTGCCAATGATTTCATCTAGTTATCATGAAATTCAACACTTTTGATAGAATTTGTGATGATTAATTATCTTTTTCTTAAAACAATAAAGTCTTGATAAGATTTAGAATAATCGGTGAACTGCTCCCACCAGATAAAAAAGCAGGAGCACTCTAGCAGTTGGATACCGCCAAAGAAATCGCGTCGCCCTGACAGCCCCAGAATCCAAAAGTTTTGCAGCTTTCTGCAACTGCACTAGGCAAGTTTAAGCACAATATCAGAACAAAAGCAATGGAGGGAAGAAGGCCAGAATTGAGTAATTCAAAAACGATAAGGAATACCTGGACGGTTGCCCCAACCATATGACGGTGATGCAAGGGGAGTGGCCTGCAATTATTAGTGTGAGACCATATCTATGCATGCATTTATGAAATACTGGTTTCTGAAACTAAAACTTAAAGGAGAGACGGTGGCACATTTTATACATGAATGGAAATATGCATGCTTCATTCTGCTTCCCCAAACATTCTGCTTGCCCGAACGCTTACTTGGCAATAAAAAAGAACAAACAAGGTATAATAAAACCCAATGCAAATGCAAGCCATGATCAATGATTATAAAATTACACTTTTTAAACAACATTATAGTACCACTTCCAACTAAAGACAGGTCATTATGGACAAATTACAAATTTGTTTGATCCGCTTTTCACAAATGAACCAACTAGGCATAGTCTAATTGGCCACCTTTGATATTATCAACCTGGATGTCGGCGGTGTCAATTCTTGTCAAAGATGAGTATTGTTCTATTTGTCCCTCCCTTTGAATATGGATTCTCTATCCATTGCTCTCCGCAAAGGTACTCGTTCTTGTGTTACTAACCACCCTATTACTCACTGTTTTTCTTCTCATTTGCTATCACCTTCATTATCCTATTTTACTTCTCACTTATCAAAATTAACTATTCCAAAGACTTCAGCAGATGTCTTATCAGATTCGAGTTGGAGGACAGCTATGGAGTACGAGATGAATGCTCTCCATCATAATCATAATTGGGATCTAGTTTTGCTCCCTCCTCGTAAGCAGGTTGTTGGGTATATACCATCAAATTTCTTCCAGATGGATCAGTGGATTGTCTCTGAGCTCGTCTTGTTGCCAAAGGATATACTCAAACCTATGACGTTGACTATGCGGAGACCTTTTCTCCAGTTGCTGAAATCTCTTCCGTTAAAGTTTGATTTTTCTTGCTGCTAATCTTGATTGACCCTTATTTTAATTAAATGTCAAGAATGTTTTTCTACATGGCGATCTAGAGGAAGAGGTTTACATGAAGCAATCACCTAAATTTGTTACTCGAGGGGAGTATCAAGGCGGTGTGTGTAAATTGAGAAAACCTTATATGGACTAAAACAATCTCCGCGTGCATGATTTGGAAATTTCTCCGAAGCAGTATTAGATTTTCGCCTTCATAAATGCCAAATAGATCACTTAGTATTTCATTTATGAACTGATGTAGGTAATATCCTCCTTGTTGTTTATGTTGATGATATTGTGATTACAGGTGATGATTCTGTGGGTATTGCCAATTTGAAACAATTTTTATAGCATCGATTTCATACCAAAGATTTGGATAAATTTCGATACTTTCTTGGTATCAAAGTTGCCAGAGATCTAAACAGGACATCAATTTATCCCAAAGAAAATACATGTTAGATATTTTTGAGGAAACAGGTTTTTAGGTGGTCGACCAGTTGATATCCACATGGATCCAAATCATAAACTCTCCGAAATTGAGGGTGAATATTTCTCTAGTTCTAGATGGTATCGTTGTCTAGTTGGAAAGTTGAATTATCTTACTATTACTCGACCAAATATCTCATATGCAGTGAGTTTGGTCAGCCAGTTTATGGAGAGTCATCAAATACTATATTGGGAGGTTGTTATTCGTATTATTCGTTATCTCAAGTGAGCCTCTGGACTTGGACTGTTGTATTGGTCGCATAGCCATCTTCAGTTGGAAGGGTTCACTGATGTAGGTTGGGCAAGATCTCCCTCGGATAGACGATCTCCTACAAGATATTGTACTTTTCTTGGAGGTAATCTAATTACATGAAAAATTAAAAAACAGATGGTGGTGGCACGATTTAGTGCTGCCACTAAATACAAGGCAATGACTCACACATGTAGTCCAACTCAAACAATTGTTCTGTTATAATCAAGCGGCTGTTCATATAAATTCTAATTCTGTGGTCCATGAAAGAACAGAATACATTGATGTTGATTGTCATTTCGTTTGAGAAAAGGTATTGTGAGGAGACATTATCACACCATTTGTCAAGTCCAAAGATTACCTTGCTGATATGTTTACTAAGTCCTTGAGTAGTACTTGGTTGAGAGATAATTGTTCCAAACTGGGATTATATGATATATATTCACTAGTGAGGTGAGAGTCATGTGATTTATGAAACCTGGGAACAGCTGAGAAGTTACGAGTCTTATGACTTTTGTAGTTTGTTGCATACATCTAATTATTTCAGCTTATCAGTGTAGCATCGCTTTTCTTCTCCTTCAATAGCTTTTCCTTCATGACTAGCCAACTTTTCACCCCACAAAACTAAAATAATAAACACTCCGACATGCTCAAGCCTACGTTAAATCCACCAGGCAAAGCATATGAAAATGCCTACTCTAGTCAGGAAAAATATGGTGTGGTGGTGGTTAAACAGCATACTCAAGTGTTTTCATGTCAGTGTCTTCCTCCCATGATGATGATGCTCGGCGAGATGCTTTGTTCCTTTCAGCTTCTGCCTGTTTGATTGAACAAGAAAAATCTTATGCAATATTAAGACATTTAGTATTGCAAATCAGGAATAATGCAAGAACCACTAAAAAATAGCACTCAATGCCTAACATTTGACATTATTTGCATAAAGTGGCCACCCTCTGGTTTGAACCCACAACCTCAAGGTTATTGGGCCGATACAACCAAACCAGTAGCCCCCAGCTACAGGAGTGACTATAAATTATTTTTCCCACGGTGCAGAGAACAGCTAAAGCTAAAGTTGGACCTGTGCTTCTTGAAGGCGCTTTATCTCCTTCTCTAATTGAAACTCTGCTGCAGCTTTTTCACTAGCCATGGCTTCCAATTGTGTTTGCTTGTAATACTGTGTTGTACATAAAAGTACAGGTACAACAAGGGATCATTAGTTGTCAACCAAGCTTTAATATTAGTGAAAACTGAGTTTGACATACCAATAAATCAGTTAGTTCACGATAGCGTTTCTCCAAATCCATATGCTCCTGTTCAATGGCATCCACAACTTAAATGATGACCACCACACAAACTAAAAACAAACTAAGAAGATAGGTCAGAAACTTAAATGGCATAATAGGCGAAAAGATCATAGCAAAACAAGAACCCAGTAGATGTATCCAACTCAAGCAGTAATCCCAAAAAAAAGGTGACGATATCGGAGTAGTACTATTTGTTCGAATAAATGCAGCTAATTTTAAACAGCAAGCATACTTGCCGAAAGCAAAGTCAAATAACTGCTGTAAAGGAAGCAATATCATTTACACAACACTAAAATAAACAAGCAGGAAAAGGAAAAATTTTGGAATCCAGAGAGTAACTATTTGTTTATTCTATGTCATTTACCACACGTATAGACTTCTTTTCAAACAAATTCACTGGGTTGTGCTCTGAATTCATTTTCGTGCAGTTCATTTGTTGCTTAAGGCAGTGGTTGACCAAATACAAGGCAAGAGGAGGAAAGGAAAGGAGAGCAAGGGGATGGCCCAACAATATTTAAAGACATACTGTTTTGGATTTTGTCTTTATAAAGGCAAAAGGCATTTCAACAATTTATTAATGACTCGCTATAGTATTGCCATCTTTATTAACGCTGCCCAACCTTCAAGTTTTCTTTTTCAAGTGGCAATTCAATAACCCTCCAACTATATAGATCAAATAGAGAACTTAGTCAGTAACATCTGAGCTCAAATGTATGTCTGTTTGCCACGGAGACAATTGTCCCCCAACATATCTGTGATAGGCATTTTTTCCTTATGGAGTAAGCGTATTGAATAAACAAATCGATGGCAAGAAAGGAAAACAAACTTCTAGATGTCCTACGATGATTTTTCCAAGTGCATTGAAGCCCAATAACTTGCACAAAGAGCACTTAAAGGCACTCAAGGGACAAAAGAAGATAATGGCAAGGTTGTGTGGAAGACATGATAGCCCATGCCTTGACAATTGATTGTCACTGCAAATGAGGAACCCAACTGTTATCATGAGGCATTTCTTTAAAAGATTCCTTCTCCACACAGAAGTTCCACATCTCAACCACAAAATATAGATGCACTGAAACAAACAGTGGTAAGAATGCAGCGCAAATAATCGTTATTTTTTTTCCAACTTGAAGCCAGATTTAAGCCCTAAAGAAGTTTGGTCCTGTAACATAGTTCCCTAAAGATATAAGGACAGAAGAACTCATCCAATGCATAATTAAAGGCATTTACTCACCTGACGTGAGTAATGCTCAGCATCCCTCTTCATTGCAGCCATTTCAACTCTCATTTTCTGCACTTCAGCCTGCAGAAAAATAAGCAAGGATCCTTAAATAGGACTTGAAAATTATGCATAGCATCAAAAACTATGTTGTTTAAAAGGAATATCACAATTGATTATAGTCAATAAACAAACCAAACTTTGGAGCCGATTAAAGTTTATACTTCATCTAATCCATTTGATTGGACAGAACCATAAAAAGTTAGCCAGAAAATTGCAAGAAGAAAACTTGCCTCCATGCAAGAAAGCTTGTTTTCAGTCTCTCTCTGACCTTGGCGCGCACGCTCTACTTCTTCCTGCCATGCCTGCATCTTCATAACAGAATTCAGAGTGATAAAATGGACCTTAAGACCATTCACAGCCACTTACTACTGCTGCAAGAGGACAAAATTTCTAAGGTAAAAGAGTACAGATTATCACACTGCTTCAATACAGACATATAGCTTTAAAAACATTATAGCTATACCAATATCTTTCTTCAAGTTCAGAATAAAATATGATGGTGAATGAGAAAACATATCAGGAACATGGAAGATCTATTTGATTATAGAATTTTTCCAACCTAATGAGACACAGAAAGAAGGAACTCCAAGAAAAAGTTGATGGTCAGAACTTAACAACAAAATATCCATTCTAATTTTTCTGTGGGTCAATTTTCTAAATTTTTAATTCTCTATCTCAAGAATAACAGTTTAAACTCTCATTTTATATTAGGATATACAGTGTACATAAATCGTCCACTAAGACACAAGAATCCATTAAGATACAAGAATACAACATACAAACTGTGGAGCCCGAAAGTCCATGAGATTCGTAGATGTGTCTATATCAATTAAAAGAAGGTTTGCAGTATGTCCTTTTAGCACCTATTGTATGGTTCATGATACCTGAATCGCTTGATTTGCATCTTCAGAGGACTTCATTTGTCCACGGCGAACACGAGCTTCCATATCTTGCAACTCTTGATTTAAAGATGCACACTCAACCTGATGGCATAGAGTATTGATAATGCAAACTTTCATCTCAAGTATTGGCTCAAACCTCTATATAGAAAACAAAGGACAACATCATTATCTACCTCAAGCAGTGCCACCTTCTGCTCAAGCTCTGCCGCCTTTGCAGTTCTCTCGTCAGCTGTTCTCTGAAGAATTAATTGATCCATGTCAGACAATCAAGATGGAAGAAAACAGGAGCAACTTGGAGCAGATAAAGCTCAGTGGTTTTCCACATTTAGATGTTATTGGACAAGGAAGAACACACATCAGCCACACCAACGTGAAAATGAATTCTTATGGGAATAAGGCATGTGAAGTCATTTATTTGATTCTTAATAAGCAGATGGAGGGTAAGATGAACCTACATAAGAGGCAAGTGAAAAGTAGAAAGATAAAAAAGACAGACACAGTAATGCGAAGCCGGGAATAGAGACAGTGAGGTCAACTCTCAAAGAAAAAGGGGCATAGGGTAAATGAAACTAAATTTAGAGCATATGCAGCCTAAATACAAGAACCCCTGCACTATTGTATTCTGAAATAGAATACTCATAGTAGAAAGTACTTGTTAACCTGGCAAGACACAATGCATGGATTCAGCACTCTGAATTATCTTTAGAGAATTTGAATCAGATGTACACCATGACTCAAATTACTACTAGCACCATATATACCACCACTAACAGCCTGTGGCATCTGGACCTCAATTCTATGAAGAAGAGACTCAAATCCACTTCCACTAAGATCAAATGCATATATTCAAGCTTTTAAGCAAAATCTGACAATGAAGGGAGTAAGAGGAATCATGACATTTTCTATTTATGCAAGTAAGAATTCTGATGTAATATCTTAGGCAATGAGTCATAGAAAAATACATCCTTACAGTACCTGCGCTCGGGCTAGAGCCTGTGATGTCTCAATAGCTCGGTGCTCCAATTCTACTTCCCTTTCCATAGCAGCCTGTTCATTCGGATAAAATTAAACACAATGACAGAGAGAACAAAAAGAATAGGCAAATGAAAACAAACATAAAAGGAGGAAAAACTAAACATAAATGCAGAAGTGAATTCCATAGACACAAACCATCTTGGTAGTGTTGTGTGCAGCATGCTCTTCTTCTGCCCTCCGTTCTGCAGAAGTAAGCTCCTCCCTTAGAGCCTGATATAAGATTGTTATTACCATCAAAATCATATGATATAGAAGAGAGATGCAACAATATGCTAAAATCAGAAAAAGAGAGTCAACTTACTTGCATCATCCTCGTCTCTGTTAGCTCTCTATTTCTCAATATCGACTCCATGTTTGCCTGTAAAGTAATTGGGTAGGATTATTAAAAGCCTCAAGTAATTCACCAATCTAAGTTCGAACCATTCAAGACAGCACATAAAACATTAATATAGAGTTTTACAACAAGGGGGCAGATCAACAACCCAAAATAACACAAACAAGGGACTAAATAAACAAGAGGAAGTAATAGGACATTGCAACAGTGCTATTGTATAACCTAAACCTTCTGAAGAACAAAGAATAAAAAGTTAACTTTCCCTACTTACGTAATCCATAGTGAGTGAACATGATACCAAAGAACTTCACAAAGGCATACAATAATGGAAGCACTTATTGATATGTTTCTTCATGCTCCCCATGGTTTATCGAGAGAAATCTAAAAAAGTGAAGGGTAGTCAATAATGACCTCCAATGGTTCAACTAAATAGAGCCAACACTTCAAAAACCTGAACTGTTTTAGACTAACAATTGAACTTGGACAATGGTTTAGAAGTAACAAGAACAGCTCATGCAGGAAGTTAGTTTACGTCAAAGATGATATCGCAGGAATAGAAGAATCACGAACCTGCAGTGACCCCAGATTTCCTTCAGATAAAGCAGCCTGTTTCTTAAGTGCATCCAAAGAACTGACAAGTGCCTCAATTTCAGAGTTTTTCGCAGCCAAAGCCTTAGCCATATTAGACTCCACCTTGGCCACCTCACTTTTGGACATAGACAAATCTTTCTGTAGCTGCTTTATGCGAGCCTCACATGATTTGCTCAGCTCTCTCTGTTAAAGTAGAAAATCAGTTAGTTAAGAAGCATTTCTTCACTAGAATAAAGGATGCAGGTGTCATTTAGAACTAATGTTAGTTCCAAATCAAAAAGTCTTACCTCTGCCACAAGAAGCTCCTCTAACTGATCATTTTCAGATTTGTACTCTTGAAGACGTGATGAAAGTCCAGCACAAACCTGAGTATCATTAACATGCATTAAAAGAATTCATAAATTGAACCTTTTGATGAAAGATAAGTCAGAAAAAGAACTTTATACTTTTATGTTGTTTGTCAAGCATAGGAACTTATATTAAATTACTTCTACAAAACCGGAAGTTCAAGTTCTGCAACAAGGAAGAAGGCAAAAATAAAATACAAGGCTTGATTTCATTGTATTCTCTAGATGGATAAAAAGGGTGAGGATGCACATACACTTATCACAAGGTCACAAAGGTGGTTAGATTGGTTCTATGACCAATGGATGAAAAGGAATAATAGAAGTGGAATGCTCACAACCATAAGGTATTTTGCAAGGACTTGTGAGTGAGTAAAGCAGATAACACCCAAAATTATAAGCAGATAACACCCAAAATTATAAGCAGATAACACCCAAAATTATAAGCAGTTAACACCCAAAATCTAGTAGTGACTATTTCTTTTTTCCCTTTTTTCTGATGTGTCTCCATACTCTCAATCAAGACTTAAACCTTGCAACTTCCCTTTTTGGATTAGCAGTGTATTTCACTCAAGCTAATGGTTGGTAACCAAAAATAATTGTACGTCATGATTATAAGAACTATTATTTGATTATGGCAAAAAAGGATTCCTCCAACAACTAACTGTATGGCATGACTTCTAAATGAGTGAAGTGCCCATGTTGGATGTATGTGAACGACTTCTTTTCTTTTATCTGGTTCTTTGTTTCCCAAAATGACATCACATTCCTTAGTCAGAGATAAGGGCATTCGCTAATCCTCTTAACCATGTTTGCTGCCTATGTTTTTAATCAGCTGTCTTCATACATTGTTTTCAGAAATTTGGAAGTTTTATCATAGTTTTTGGCTTTTTGCATACATTTAGCAGTAACAGCTTTGACAACCTTTGCTTATTGCTATCATGCCCCCAAGATGTTTAGACGTTATTCAGTTTGGTTCCAACCAAGGCAGTTGATTTTCTGAAAGAATTAAAGTCCCTCATGGTGTAGGTCAAGGAAATTAATTTTTATTGTTGAGGTGAGTTCTCAGAAAACCTTTCATTGGAGTGAGATGGCAAAAAGGCATGAAATTTTGGTTGGATACGTGCTGCATTGAATTTCCCTTTGTTCCAGGTTGCTGTAAATAAGAATGCTAGCATCTCTAGTAATCTGGCAGTTTCTGGTGGTTGGCCTCTGTGGAACTAGCAGTTTAATGTATGCCAGAGGGAATCCAATCCAAAACCAATTAGGGATGACTGGACACTGGAGAGGTCCTTATACATATAAACCCGACCATGGGTGACACTACCATGTTATTCACCTTATTTGAAGTATCGTGATGTGGTCAATTGAAGCTTTGATGGTCATTTGGAGAGGTAGTAAAGGCAAAAAGTGGATTCCAAAGAGATTGGATGTGGCTCCTCTTTGCTTAATATAGATCATTAGAAGAGAGAGAAAAAAAACTTTTACGGATCCAGCTTCCTATTAATAAACTCAGTTTTTATGTTACATATTTGTATTTTATTTCGCTCAATGAAGTTTCATTTGGGGCCTTCAGATATTTTTGCTGTCGGGAACGTTTATGTTAGTAGTTTTAGATATTGCTAATGACTTGCTTAACAAAATTAAAATGCAAGCTGCTCTACAATGCTGCCCTCATTTTTCTTTTCAGTGATTAATTTATCAGCTATGTTTTCAGTGTTTCGGAATGGATATGACTGAATTGCCAACAAATACAAATGAATATCAATGGTATTACAATGTCATCAGTGACTTTTGTATCTTAGAGGTAAGATACTGGACACCAGTATTAGCATTTAGTAGTTATTATATAATTTTGGTCACATAACTTGGACTTTATTATCACCTACATTTTTTATGAACCTTATTATCACCTACATTTACATCCGATGAAGCAGATTGCAGGAAACAAGCCCACCATGAAAGACAAGCATAACATGACAATGTGCCTACAAGGATAATATGCTGACAGCAGTATATCTAAATCAGTAGTAGTAATCAAGGGACAGAAGTTAACAAATTCTTACCCGAGCTAACCTCGCCTCTTTTGACTGGCCTGTAGAAATTGCACTTTTGAGCAGTCCTTGAGCCTGAAGAATGAGAGAATAGTCAGCAACATCCATGCATGCAGGAAATAATTCATAGAGATCCAAATCTCTAGAGGTAACAAAGCACACCAAGATTTTCCACCATAAGACATACTCTACCTCATCAAGTTGGTCTTGTACTTTTGTGGGAGAATTATCAGCTTTATGCTCTTGTTGCTTCCTCTGATCAGAATGATGTTCAAACTTCAAATCAGCATCTTTCAATTGTGAATCATCTCTGCCAGGTGCACCCGACTTACCAGATTGTGATCCATCCCACTCAATCCCTGTAGAGGTTCCCATGCCTTCCAACATGATATTTTGGTCAGAATCAACAGGACGATCTTCATGAACTACCTCAACACCTTTGGCAGTGGGTGGAGAAGAAGGAACCCCCTCAAGAACATCTGAAGAATTCTCATTGACAAGCACACCATTTGAAGTTGAAGCAACACCTTCTGTATTACTAACAGTAGCCACAACTTCTGCATTATTTGCATCATGTTTTGCCTCATCATTACCAATTGTCCCAGACAAAGGAGTGCCTGATATGGATCCATCTCCATCAACATTGTCTTGCTCCTCATTCCCAATATGAGCAGTAGAACTACTAGGACTGATCTCATTATTTTCAATTGGCAATGAAGCCCTCTCTTTGTCAGATGGCACATCCAATTGTAATTGTGAAGTTTTAGTTGTTGTAGGAGTTTCATTCAAGGAGAGTCTCCTTTGAAACTACGAGTAAGCTGACTGTTAGATAAACCTCAGAATAAAAATTGTTTATATCATGAATACATCTACATATTACACTAAAGCTAGAGAAATTCCCGTAAAAACCTTCTCTTTTCGTCTTGTTCTCTTTGCTTGAGATCCTTCTCCATTGGAAGCTTGTAATTGGAAAAGAAATGAAAACAGAAAAGATCAATTATATGCACCACTATTGTAATTGAATGTCAAAATGAACTTTATCACAGGGTGATGTTACACCATCACGGCACCACCTTAACCTCAATATTACTCCAATACATATCAACATCTTTATAAAAAACACACAGCAACAAGTCAGAATAGTAAGTCTCTTCCACAAAAACTCCTCATATTTTAATGAATGAACAACCAATGATCATGCCTTTTAAAACTTCATAATTTGTAGATGATGCACTGAGCAAACTCAGTTTCTATACCTGGCAACTGCAAACTAGAATGCTCATTTGACTTCTCGTTGGCAACAAGCTTTGCTCTTCGATCTACGACTTCAAACAAATCTGATGCCACAATAACATGAAGTTTCAAATTCGTCAGCATGTGTTCAAAGATACTAAATGTAGGCATGGGGACATCGGCATGCATGCATAGAGCATTTATGTAGTTGTCATCAGAAAAAGAGTTGTTTGTTTATCCATGGGAAAAGTGCAATAACATTTAAAACAGAAGGAATTTGATGTAAGACTGAACATCAAAAGTGGTATTCATTAATTGAATAGCCAGCGTGGAAAATAATCGGAATATCGGATTATCTAAGAAATCTTATATTTACCTTTTACCCTCTATTCACTAATTGAAAAGCACCGGAGATCTCTTCCCCCCCCCCCCCCCCCCCCCACAAACAAACAAAAATCAAATATAAAGATAAAAAAAAAAGAGAACAAAGAAAAAACAAAATGAAACATAACTCCAAAAAAAAAAAAGAGCTTTTCTAAATCACGTTAAAGACGCGTATTCAAAATTTTGTATCCTTTTCTGGTGATTCTAGTTTGTATAGTAGTGCTTCAGAAAAAAATAATAACGCAAATATTACGTTTGTTTAAGGGAGTACCATGAGACAGAACTACCCTGGCAATCTGTGATGTTTGTCGCATAAAATGCATGGCACACTTGCAACCTGTCCTATTCTTTTATATTTTGTTTGAAGTAAATACAAATCTAATTACTAGTTTAAAACTAACAGAACAGGGCACACATCTCCTAAGCCCCCATATCAATACTAATTATTGGAAAGATAATCAACAAATCTGTAGGAACAAAATATCCTACACCAATCACATTGTCTTTCCATCTTATGTCGCTCTTAATCATATACCTCATCTTCATGATAACCATGAGTTTTTAGAACGGTTTTTTTGTCAAAATAAATTGGCAACAGAAACCACAAAGCAGGACATTGGGCATGAAACTGTGGCAAAAATTTCAATTCTTCGCCTTCCTCCCCATTTTGAGTTTTGAGAAAATGAAAACAATCAAACCCTTGACCAAACCATAATTTCAAATGTCTTGCCAATGCTGAAATGGAATGAATGCGAAGTGGTTATGCAATCACCAGTTCAATGGAATGTGGAATGGAAAGCAAGACCGACCATATCCAACTAGACCCAAAAGATAGGAGTATAAATTAGACTGCTCTATCTGACAAAGATATTTCACCAAATGAATACCTGGGGGCTTAATTCAGGGAATGCACTATGCAGCAAGATCTCAAAAAATTATAACACCACCAAACCGTGCATAAGTAGCTCCATTACTATCACAATATCTATACGGAAATCTTTGGCAGCATTGAACTGGTGATTCTAACCAGAATTGGACCAAAAGTTCTCGGACACTTGATGTGATATATACAATCTCAATGCCATGCCACCCCCTTCCACAGTGACAACGCATTCTAAGCTTCAAATCTATCAGTCTAATCACATGTTTAACATAAATAATCTTATTTATAGTTGCAGCAGATCAATGTGCACAAAAATCGATCGCTAAACAAAGCAATACAGAAATTAACCACTGATGCATTCAAATTGTTACCTTCAGCAGCTTTGAGCCAAGAAGCCATTAACTGTGATGCTCCAGAATATCATGAAAAAGGTTCGAATTGAATGCCTGTGAAGGATTCAAAGGATCCCTGTGGTTAGATCGAGAGATCAATTCGAAAGATCTAATGATTTTCGTTTGTGCAAATTAAAGTCGGGGAATCGAAACCGTTTCAGTGTAACCGGACTACTATGAATTGCTATTGTCTCTCTTCTTCTTCCTCCCTCTCCTCTCGGCTAAGTCGTTAGTTAGGAGGTTCCTCTCTCTCTGTATGTGTGTGTGTGTGTGTTCAATCGTGGGCTTTTTAACATGGTCCTAGCTTGTTTCTTAATCCGACTTTTTTTTTTAATCTTAACACCTAAAATTGAAAAATAGGAATTGGCTCCTATAGTTTCGGAAATTACAGTGTGACCCTCAATTTTCCAAAATTAAAAATTGACCCCTCCATTTTCCAAAATCACAAAAATGACCCTTATTTTTATAAATTACAAACTAACCCCAAACTATTCGAAAAATTACAAAATGACCCATTAGTTTAAGAAATTACAGTTGTACCGCACAAGATTCCAAAATTTCTATCTGACCCCACTGTTTTGGGTTAAATTACAAATTGACCCCTATAGTTTCTGAAATTATAAACTGACCCCTAAGGTTTGGGTAAATAAATAATTGACCCTTTTAGTTTCATAAATTAAAATGTATGACCACTCAACTTTCCAGTGTTTGAACCCTCAAGTTTTCAAAATTACAAATTAAAAACCTATAGTTTTGGTAAATTACAAATTGACCCCTAAACGTTTCTGAAATCACAAATTGACCCGTAGATTCACTAAATTATAAATTGACCCTATAGTTGTGCTAAATTATAAATTGACCCCTATAGTTGTGCTAAATTATAAATTGACCCCTATAGTTTTGCTAAATTATAAATTGACCCCTATAGTTTTGCTAAATTATAAATTGACCCCTATAGTTGTAGTAATTTATAAATTTAACCCTATAGTTTTGCTAAATTATAAATTGACCCCTATAGTGTTGCTAAATTATAAATTGACCCCTATAGTTTTGCTAAATTATAAATTGACCCCTATAGTGTTGCTAAATTATAAATTGACCCCTATAGTTTTGCTCAATTATAAATTGACCCCATAGTTTTGCTCAATTATAAATTGACCCCCATAGTTTTGCTCAATTATAAATTGACCCCTCTAGTTTTGCTCAATTATAAATTGACCCCTATAGTTTTGCTCAATTATAAATTGACCCCTATAGTTTAGCTAAATTATAAATTGACCCCTATAGTTTACATAATTACAGTTTGACCCCTCAAGTGTGTAAAAATACAAAATGACCCTTATAAGTTTAGAAATGACAAATGACCCCTATAGTGTTTGAAATTTCAAATTGGCCCCCAAGTTTACAAAAATTACAAATTGACCCCAATTGTTTTGGAAATTTCAAATTGACCCCAATATTTCGAAATTATAAATTGACCCCATTATTGGCAATACACACACCCTCCGAAATTGTTTAGCCTTGAGAAGAAGGTTGGAGTTTTTATCAAGCTTTTACTACTACAATACTACAACTTCTTTGTTAGATGCACAAACACAAACTTCTTTGAGAGTATAGTATCAATTGATTGAAGGGTATTCTACTATCACAGATCAAAGAATCACTTCCTTTTGATTCTTTCAATTCACTATTTGATATTCCACCATTCACTTAAATACAACGGTCTTTTTTGAATTCAAAAATATTGAAAAAATTTAGCATTGGAGTGAATTTCAATGTTAAAAATTTCTAATTTGCCTTTGAGAGTCTCCGCTATATACATAATGATGATCTGTACAAGTATGCCACATAGCTTAATTCAAGGGATGACTATATTAAAATTGGTATGTTGTTTGAATATTTTCAAACCATCAAAAATTAAAGTATGTTATTTTCGTAAAATAACTGGAACATATGGCATGGAGTGGAGTTGATATGTAGGGGGTATCAAGTGCAAGATAACAAAAATAAATTATTAACTCAAACGTTATAAGTTTGAATCTTGACAAAGAGAGTCAGATCGTAATAAATTTGTGCATAAATTGATCTGAACACCTCTGATCGATAAAAAAAAAATGAAAAACAAATAGTGATCAATTGACAAATGCCAAATAGTTATGCTTGATGTCTTTTCTTCTAAAATATACGATAGAATAAAACATAACCAAAATGTATCAAAAATTAATGGGTGTGTTTCATTGGGACATCACCCATGCAGCATTAATTATAGAAAAAAGAGTGACTGGTAGATAGAGCTCTAGACTTTTAGCCAGAAAAAGGGAAGCTTCACTCGCTACAAGAAGAAAAGGCTTTTGTGGCAACACAATCCCGTTACAAAAACCATTTTTGCCGCCACAATTACTTTTTGTGACAGCTTAGTGGCAACATTCGTCCACCGTTTATAAGTGCAGTCTCAAAAAATATTTGTGACAGGAATTTGTTGTCGTAAATAATTATGCTATTTTTTGTGGCAGTAATTCTGCAGTCACAAAAAAACATGTAATACTTTTCAATTTATTTGAAAATGTATTTGTGACGGCGTTGATGCTGCCACAAAAAATTCGGAAGTTCAAAAAAAAATTATTTCACGATACTGAAGCATTGACCAAAACTCTGTCCACTTGAGAAGCCTGTCCATCAAACTCAGGATAACGCCTACTAACTACAAAAACAGTAACTTAATTCCATTACCACCTACTTAACCTTTAAAAGCCCCAAAAGGCAATAAAAAATAAGCATACAAAGTAGATTTTTTTTAATACATGAAAGATAGTCAGTGAAGAACATAAGATCATCTACAAACCACCAACACTCTCCAACCCTGAAAAAAAAATAAAAAACTCTATTAAGATAATAAATCTTGAAAAGCAAGTAACTCAATTGCCATATATCTATAAAGACAAAGGGAAAATAATAAATTATTGGGAAAAGAAATCCCCGTTAAATTATTAAGAACAGCTGAACATAAAACATTGAGACAAGACAAAACATAAATTGACATATCACAAAAACAATTTTCTGTGTGTCTGTATGGTGTGGGTGTGTGGGCAAGTGTTTGTGCTTGAGAGGGAAGGAGTCCATGCTCTTGATTACAACTATTTGTGACTTTTCCAAAACCCATAACCCAAGTAAACGTTGACAGATTAGAGAATAACTAATTAATCAACTGTGTATTGCGTATAGCAAACCAACTTTGGTGACTCTTCACATTTAGAGTACAAAAAGATCTAGGTTAGTATTGGAGATGAACCCAGATTCCTTGAAAAAAAAACCTTGGTTATCATAAAGTCCACCCCAAAATTCCAAAAGGATCATGCAGCACACTATCTATTATTGAACACTATTTGTGAACGTTATTCATCTTCTTCTTGGCCAAATGGACAGTCAGATTCAACGATGGCGGGGACGTTGCCATTTAAATTCAAGAAAAAACACAATAGTTAGCCCCAGAAAAACATGAACTAAACAACCTTATGACTTACATGCAATAAGGTCAAACAGCAGATAGATATAGTATATAAAAATACTGTTCACTATCAGTCATTACATAATTGTTGGCCAAGTATCACAGGGATAAACTTGAAAGCAAGAAATGCCTCCATGTTAGAATGTGCAAGACAATTTCTATATTTCTTAAGCTATTTTTATCACAATGTAATCAGCAAGGTGATCAAATCACTCAAACTCTTCGGATACCCAACAAATCAGGGTACAAATCCAAGTGAGGTTTTAAATATAATCAAAAGCAGCATCATTGCACCTATTTCATTGCAAAACCACTAGATTTAATAAAACAAGTGTAAGGTATCCGTATTAACAGTAGTCAAGTTCTTTCAAGCACTAGGATAAGATTTTAAAATGCAAAAGACAATCCCAACACTAGAAAAAATCAACACATTCTTTAACCATGGAAATTACCCACAAATCTCTTCCACGGAATTAAGCAACAAAATTCACCAAATGTTTACAATCCACCAATTCTTGATACTCCAAATTCAGCAAATTTCCCATTACCCATTCTTGCACATCCACCATTCTTGCTCAGTCCTTTCCAATTCATTACCGTCAATATACGAACCACATGAAATTAAAAAAAAAAAACCTTATGCATATACTACTATTACAAATAATAAATAGCAAAAGCATTTGAAACTAAGCAGGGCACTAAGAGAGCGAAAACAATAAAGCAGAAATAGCAGGAAAAAAATTATATGTAGATACTACAATTAAAGACAACATTACTAAATCAACACCCAAAAATAAAGAACACAAATATACAAAAAATTGCACAACACACACATTTGCATAAGAACACAACATAAATAACAAAGAATTGTGAGAGATTGAACCTGTATAGGGTTGGGGCTTTAAACCAAATGGGTTATAGTTTGAAGCAAAGATTTTGGGATTAGGCTTACTCTTCGTGGGAGTGGTTGCTGGTTCACAGCATGCACCTGGGGGAGAACTCGAACAAATCCTCGAAATCGAACAGGGTGACGCCCTCTTAACCTCATCAACAGTACCCCCGCTTCTTAGGTAACTAAGTCGACGCATCGAGCAGGGGTCTTCAACCAAGAGAAATTGGGCCTATGTGTATTGATTTGTGGTGGTGGCCAATTCATAGATGACATAGAGAGAAATAGTGGATGAGGGTATGGTGGTTATTGTGGTTTGGTAGGGCAATGGCAACGGAAGTAGCTGATGAGAGAGAAGGAGAAAAGTGAAGTGAGGTGTGGTGTGAGTAGTGAAGGATGAGAGCGGAGGTGGATCAGGGATGAATTTGGGGGAAGAACGAAGACGAGGGTTTCTACTGGGGACGCCCATTCTGATGTTGTACCTCTGTTCCGTCGTATAAAAATATATTTTTATGGCACCTTATTTGTGTCGGAGACTATGCCGCGACGCGACAAGTAACAATTTTTTTTTACCGCCGCTTCGTAAACAACAATTTTTCATGACGGCAAAGCCAGCCATCACAACAAAGTTGTCACAAATTACCTATTTTCTTGTAATAACTCCACCCTCCTTTATATAGCGAGCGGGGCGGGGATATTACATATCTCCAAGAAAGTAAATTTATATTGGCTTGAAAGAGCTTTTGATCACGATTGATTGATTGTAAACAATTTTCGGTTCGGCTTGGTCTAAAAAATGCGTTTTCTATGCTTTCAAGAGCCAAATTTTAATTTAGTGATCAGCACTCGTTCACTTCAGGAGAGAAATGGTGTTCATACAAGAGTACCAAACTGAAAGAAACAGGAGCACCACAACCACAACTCTTCACCTACTCTTTATTGGAGTCATTTTCTTTCCAGAGCCACATTGTTATTTCGCTTCTAATGTGAATGATGCACAAGATTTGCATGCACCCCCTAAACGATAATTTTTTTTTTTTTTTGGCTTGGGGAAAAAAGGATGGGAGTAAAGGAGAGTGTCCAAAAGTATCCCAATAACCCCTCACTAGTGTACGCTAGCATTGTTTGATAATGCACACAAAAGTAGATTTATACACAATCAACAGTCAAGTAATTAATATAGATAATAAGTACAATAAATATAAATATGAGATCAACACAAGCAACACACAAATATAGAGTGGTTCGGTCAAGGTGACCTACTTCACTTTGAAGGTGGCAACGGTGGCTGGAGAACTTTATTGGTAAAGTAGTCGAGAGGAGAGAGAGAGAGAGAACAAAAATACGCGCAAGGTGAGGCGTGTGAGATCTCCCAATGTGAGGTGTGTAAAAGGTGTGAAGGGTAGTTGAGGCGGTGGCGTGAAGGATAGGTTACTAGCTTTTCAAGGAGGATAGTTACAACTACAGATAGGTATAATTAGAGATAGTCTTAATCTTTGAAAGTGACTATCCCGATTATTGCTCCCAACGTGCGTTGACTTCTCGGGTCCCATGAATCTTGAACTGGGCTAAGGCCACGAACTGTGTTTGACCTGTTTTTTAGCTGATTGGGGCCCATCTCATTATTAAGGTCTAACCTAGTTGGATTTGAGCTCATCAAATACCCCTATGCCCCAAGCCCCAGTTGTGAGAAAGGGGGTTAAGGGTATGAGTGAGCTCCTTCGTCTAGAAAAACAAAAGGTTTCTTGCTCTTCACGGTAGCCCCCTTGTTTTCCCCTACTTTGTTGCCGAATTGTACCATCATCGATTGGATTTTTACCTTAAAACTCCCATTCCATTATTTATGCATCCTTTTCTAGGCTTCAAGAAACCCCATCCCTTAGCAATAAAACCCTTTTTTTCCTTCCCTTTTTAGTGGATAACCCTCTAGGGCTTTAGAGGTCAACATTTATATACCTTGAACCATTCCATCCCTTTTTTCAATCAAAGGATCTCTTCTTTAACAATTAGGAGTCTTCATCATAGGTTGAAAGAAAAAATGGAGAAGAGAATCTCCATAGAGGGTGCTTCGGATAGAAACACAACAAATGAGAGAGGAGAGGGGAACCAAAAGGCGATTCAGCAGGCAATGGGTAAACAATAAGGTAAAAAATAGTGCCCAAGGAGTCGATGCCAGGAGGGGAGGCATGTCGGGTAGCTAGCTGGTTACAACAGGTTGAGCAGTGCCAGCAAGCTGTTGGGCAACGTTGTAGGAGAGGAAGGCGATGAAGATATGCCGCTATGGACATAGGTGGTGCTATCTCCAACAACAATGCTAGTGTCTGGTGGCGCTAGTGGCCTGGACAGCGCTAGCTGCGCGAGCAAAGGTAGGACACCAGGTATCCACAGAGAGGAATTGGCGACGCCCTAAGCACAGAAGATGATGCTAAAGCAAGGGAGGAGCATGAGCGATGTGCCAGCTACGCCGGCTGTGGTCCTAACAGTGGATTGGGCACTAGTCCTCACGGCTCTCTGGATGCAAGAGGAGGGAGTCCAAGTACAGGGAGAATAGATGTTGAGGCACCGTTTGTCGGAGTAGCCAGCACTGGAATTGATGGATTGGCCCGTGAAAGGAAACAAGGTATCCCCTTTTAACTAAGTGACTTAATTTGGTTTGTCACCTTTTGTGAATCTCGGTGCCACTTTCACCTTTTGTTGGCCTCTGTTTTGTCAGGTGGCTGAACTAGTAGGGACAGTATGGCAGATATGACACAGGCTTCGCACCAAGGCAAAAGAGTTGTTGAAGGCGATGGGTCGAAGGTATCCTCTATATTCAATTCAATTAATTGGGATGATCACATTGCTCACATTGTGTCATCCTTTAATATTCCTCTTGCTATTATGTGTCACCAAACTGAGAGGGACAAGCCGACGTGTTATGACTCCTTAAGAGAGATTATTTTTTACGAGGACGTCCTAGAGGCAGGACTGAGATTTTCCATACGTTCATCTGTCGGATTGTGGGTCACTTATCATTCACTCCAAGGAGGTTAATTACCAATGGTTGGAGGGTGATTCTGGCATTCTTCTCATTATGGCGGTTGGTCCATGGCGCTGACGTTTCTCCCCCTTTCAAGGAGTTCTTGGCTTCGTACGTGCTTATAGATAATCTCACTCCTCATCAAGGATGGTATCGGTCCGATAAGTTTATTACTATACTTCCTTCAAATTGTCATAGCTGAAAATCCAAGTTTTTCTTTGTCAAAGGTGAATGTGGGTCACTGACGAAGATTGTGACTTAGTGCCTTCGAGGTGGGACATTGCTCCGTGGACCAAGCTAGGTAATAGTTTTACCTTTATTTTTTTGTTGACTATCATGTCCCTTGTATTCACTGCATGTTTGATTCCTTTTCAGCTCTATCCATGTTATCTGTGGAGCAAGACCAGGCCATGTGGGATTGTCCTATCAAGGATTTTATGACCATCATGTTCGCGGCGGGTCATCCCAAGGCCTCCCCTAGGCAAAAGAGGAAGGGTAATTGATCTTTTCAATAAACATTGATAATTGTAATACTGTAGATTCTTTGTCTTATACCAGTTCCACAGGTCCTAATGTTGATAGAGCAATGGTGGAGGCTCTTTATGCTTCCAGGGTGACATCTTCCCCTTATTTTAAGAAGGCAAACTCTGATGCCTCTGATGGCCAGGTTGTTTCCTGAGAGACGAGACTCGGTGGTGCCCCCACTCTTTTCTTAGCTACGACTCTTTTGTATTCCAGAGCTAGCCCAAGAACCATTGTAGGAGTTGAGACTCCAATGCGGTCTTCTGTCAGGACTTTAGTTCCACGTTGTTGTCTTACTTTTAGTAGTGGCTTGGTGTCCATACTATAGGACGTCAATTTGGCTAAGGAGTGATTTTTGGGGTTTGTGATTGTCGTGAATATTAGAGAGGTCGGCTCTCGAGGTCTAGAGGGCATTATCAATATTACGATAGAGGGGTTTTCCATGGTATACCTTTCTATTCAACTTTGGTTTTGTATGTGCCTTTTTTCCCTCATGAAAGGCTTTTTGAATACTTGTAGGTGGCTGTCGTTTTTCCCTACCTTTTTTTTCAAGGACAGTCAACCTTGAAGAGGCATCCAAAAATCTAGCAAAAAGAGAGACAGACACGAGAGGATACTGATGAATAGTAATGGCTCGAGAGGTAGGCATGAGAGGCTATCGAGGAGCAGTTGAGGCTAGCCTACGAGAGAGCTGCACCTCTTGAGGCCGAGCTTTTGGCGTACCGCGAGAGGGCTGCGAAACTGGAGGCTGATTAGGAGATTGCCTGTGCGAGAGTAACGCTGCAAGCGTTCCGCAAGAGGGCCGCAGGAGCTAAGGCCGAGCTATGTATAGTTCGGGAGAAGGCTGCCATAACAGAGGCTGACCTTCGAGCAGCTCTTGAGAGAGTTACTAGGGCAGAGGCTTATTCCATTAAGATGGTGGAGATGAGGAGGGAGGTTGCTAAGAGGGCCGTTGTAGATGCCTTTATTGATGATTATGAACAGTTTAGGAGAAATGTCTCAGCAGCTTTTCCCGCTATTGATTTCTCTGACTTCGTCTCATATGAGGTCCCAAAGACAGATGGTGACTGAGAGAGCCTTGATAAGAGTGTCTTAAGGGTAGTGAGTGATGTCAGGAGTATGACAACTTTTATCTTTTTTTCTCTTCTTTTGTTAGGTTATGTTCTGACTTTTGTAAGTTATTCACAAACCTAATAGAATTAAAGAAAGACAGATGGGCCAAGGCTTCCCCGTTTCCAGTGTGCTATCATCCCTAGGGTCAACACTTCCATTTAGAAGGCCTTTTGGGGTTTCTTGACCTTTATAGAGGGGCCACATAGCATTCGCTAGAGGAGACTTGGTCCCCTCTAACTTCACCAATCCCACAGAGTTGAAAAATGGAGAATAAGGTAATAGGTGGACGACACTGTCCTTAAAGTGTTGAGTGCTGGGTGTCTAAGGATAATATTGTAGGCAAAAGGGGAGTCTAGCACTATGAAGTTCACCATGATGGTGGAGCTTCTTGGCAGTGTTATTAGAACCAGACCGGACCAGTCGATCGGACGGGTTGAACCATGAATCGGGACTTCAAACAGTCAGATTCTTTAGTTAGACCGCATAAGGAATTGAACCGTTGAAAAACTGAAAAATTAGCCGATTTTGGCCAAAACTGGTAAACCAAAGATTCCAAAAATTGGCTGGTTTAAAGCCTAAAACTAGCCTGTAGCCCTTCTTCTTCTTCGTCTCCTTCCACTTTTCTTCTCCGTCGAACATGACGAATTAGATCTCGCAAACAACAGATCTACATCTCGAAGAATCGAACATGAGAGACACAGAACACAGACCTCAAAGAATTAAACATTAGACACACAGAACACACACCACTTCGTCTCCTTCCACTTCTACAGATCTAGATCTCTCAATTCATCTTCTTCTCCTCTATTTCTCTCTCTCTCTCTCCACGCAGACAATAGACATAATGATACCCACAAAAATGAAAGAAAAAATGATGGCTTGGGTCTTTATTTTTTTCTCTCACATTGTTGAGTCTGCTTTTTGTTTCTTTCTCCCTCAGTCCCTTTCTCTCTCTGCACATGCACACACACGCACACACACTATCATATTGAATAATTGAAAATAAATTAAATAGTTAATACACATAAATCCAATTCTAACAGGAAAAAGTAAAGACATATACAGTACAGTTTGATATATATATATTTTTTTTGTGATTGTAATTTTTAGTTAAACTTTATATTTATTTAATTATGCCATCGGTTCGACCAGTTAATTCAATGGTTGAACTAGTGAATCATTGACCTAGTCCCTCTACCGGTTTGATGTCCGATCCGGTTCTGATAATATTGTTTCTTGGTGTTGTCCCTGCTGTGATTGGTAGGGTGATGGAACCCAAAAGATAAGTCATCTCACCCGAAAATCCGATAAGGGGCGTTCTAATGGACTGTAGTCTTTTTCTTGCCTAGATGAAGGCTGTCATAGGTGGTGGGAATAAAATGTTGACGGAGCTGCCACTATCCACCAGAATTCTCTTAACCTGGTAGTTGGCAACCATCACAGTTAAGACTAGAGTGTTATCATGGGGGTGTTAGATCCTTTCGAGATTCCTATCTGAGAATGAGATGTCTTCTACCCAATGTCAAGGAGCCTTCATCGGGCAAGGATCATTTGACTCCACCTGTCTAGCTCTCTTGGTATGCACCTTCCTGGCGGAGTTAGAGTCACCTCCTCCTCCTAACCCTCTGAAGATCATCTGGATCTTTCCGAGGGGCTGCTGACGCTCTCTGTCATCCTGGTTTCTTCTAGGCGACAAGGCTAGTCCTCTGCTAGCAATGTACTACTGCAACTAGTCACGTTATATGACCTTCTCAATCTGCATTTTAAGATCAAAATAGTCATCAGTATCGTGGTCGTGCTCGCGTTAGATGCGGTAATACTTGTTTGGGTTCCTACGATTGGGGGCGATTTTCATCTTCCTCGACTAGCGTATCGTAGGATCATCCTGTATTTGAAACAAGATATGCTTCACTGAAGTATTGAGTGGCATAAAGGATTGTTGCTCTCTCAGATATGGGGGACCAAGAGGGTCATTGACAAAGACTCTCTCTGTTATATTCTTCTCGTTCTCTACTTCTCTCCTATCTTTGCGGATATCCTTTTTTTTCTCACCCCCCAGGAGGACTCACATCGCCTGGCTTTGGTGACGTTCTCAACATTTATGTACTTTTGTGCCCTTGACAACAACTCAAAAATGTTAGATGATGGCTTTTTTAGGACAAAGAACATGAAATTGGTGACCATGACTTGCCATAAAGGCGGTCATGGTCACCTTGTCATTTGGTTCCTTGATCTGGAGAGCCTCATCGTTAAAACGAGTAAGGTAGCTCCTCAATCTTTCATCTTGATCCTGCTTAATGGTGAGTAGGTGACAAAAGATTTGCTTAACTCCGTAAAGAAGTGGATGAAAGAAGGCTTGAGTTTTTGCAAACCACTGTCATGCAGATCCTATAAGGGTGGTAGGGAAGACTTTGCATATGATCTCGTTAGGCACATTGTGGAGCTGTATGAGAGACTTGTATGTATCAAGATGGTCGAGGGGATCCTTAGTACCATCAAAGATCTACAAGGTAGGCATCTTGAACTTTGAGGGTAGATGGCATTTGACAACATCTGCCACAAACAGAGTGTCAGGATGCCTTACCAAGTAATCCACCGTCTCTAGCGCTTGTGCTTTAATGGTGTTGAGGGCATCACCAAGCTGTTTTTGCACCTCCTTAATCTCTTCATCCTATTGGTTTGGGGCACCCTCAATTGGATCATAGTAGTAGCTCTCATGATCCACATACTGGTTCTCCCCTCATCTTCCTACCCTGGATGGTCGCCAGTCTGTGGGTGGAGCTAGTATATGAAGAGGTAGATCATGCGAGGCGTTTTGGCACAGAGCAGGGACTCCTTAGCGAGGGATGTTGGGGCGTTGCATGGGGGCGTCCTGAGGGGAGAGGGTGTGGGACCTCTCTAATTTGAGGAAGTGCAACTCCTCCTGCTTGTTGGGGGGCGACGCCTCCTGAGGCGAGTATCAGTTGAAGAATTTGCTAGTTTTGATTTACCAGCAATTGCATGGTCTCCAAAAACTATTGCTCGACCACAGGATTTACAGCAATGAATGGTTCTGTTAGTGGAGATG